TAATGTGAAAGCTCTTCCCATTGCTTGATTCTTTCAAGCAGTCAAACAACATTTTTGAATGATTCTAACTACTTAAGCTCAAGTGTCAATTTCTTTAATATAATTCATTCCTACTTTCGTAAGTTATAATTTATTTATTTTCAATGATCTGTCCCACCATTTTATCTATTAGTAATTACGGAAAAGGATAGAAATTTTTTTATTTTTAAATTATGATTTATTTATTAAAAAAATAAAAGAGTCTCATTTTTTTAAATTTTTTTATAAATATGAAACATATTAGTATTAAATAATGTGTTAATATTTGTTTGATAGAGTCATCAACGTTGAAAATTCTTCAGTTGACTTGCTAATGCCGTGATGCATATTTTATATTATCAGTTTTTTCGTTCTTTCCTTTTCTTTTTCTTTCTCCTTGGTAAACGGCACATGCTAAATCAAATTCAGGGTCTTGATCACACAGTTAAGATCACTGCTAAAGACGGACTGTCCAGTCCACTTCACTACAACTTAAATAGGGATTGTTTTGATTCTCCAATTTAAGCTCTATGGGAGAAAAAGAAAAGAAAAAAAATTAGAGATTCATTCGAGAACTCAAATGTTTTCAATACCAAAATATACGTTTTATGATTGAATCTCGCTGAAATTGAGAAAAAATTTAGCCCTAATCAAGGTTTATACTCAATTGTAACTTTTGAATATAAAATTAATAAAGTTTGCTTTATGGAAGACAAAGAATATATAGAGAGACATGGTCTAAAGGCTACTTTTTTATTTCAAAAAGGTTCACTAATTCACTGAATTTTTCGCCTGGTAGACCAGAAAAGATTGCATTGAATTCATTCGCCTGGTCATGATGATGAAAAAAAAAACCTTGACTTCAATGTAAAGTTTCTTAATGTTGATGGGTTTGTGTGTCCCTACAAATTGTTGTTTGTGGGCTAATTTTCGAATTTTCCAAGCAAAAATGCTCAGCTTGGTGCTTGGATATCAGCTGATCTTCTGAACAAAATAAATGAACAGAAAATGATGCCTATATATGCAAGTTTACTTTATCCTTTATGACTCTGTCAAAGAAGCAAAACTGCTACTAGGAATCCAAGATTTCGAGAACAACTGCGGTCAATGAAGTCATTGATCTAATTAATGACAAAAGAATGGGCTTATCGACCGCTTGAATCATCAAGTATAAAAATGATTCCTCAACTCGATTTCATAAATGAATCAAATAAATGTATAATATTCAACTGTTGGAATTCTCGTAATAATCCATTTGACTTTGCTTGCTATCCTTCAATCTACAGTTGAATTCAAACCCTCCAATGTATGGATTCAATAGTCAACAATCATGTGATATTATGTGAACAATTGAGAATCTCATTTATCATGCCATGTAAAACAAAAGTAGATTTGTGTTAAAGAGATCAAAGCTTTGTGTTATGATGAAAATGGATAGACGTGGGAGTTTAGGACTTGGGATTGATATTTTTAATCACGAAAATTGGGCATTTATTGGCCCTGCCCGATGAGTAGCTAGGCCTAGGCATGAACAGAAGTCAAGGTGATACCAAATTGAACCAATGTGTCGGCTGTTCATGATGGAATTGGCAACAAGGATTAGGTGTGTTTTCAACATCATGTCTGTTCAGCAAGAAAAAAAAGAAAGACACAACATCATTAACTACTTGACTGCAAGATTCCATGCTATCCATGCTATCATTAATTAATGCAGTGGGAACTGGAAATGGAGGTCAGACCACTGACTTCATTTTTTTTCTTCCGGTTCTTTAAAAAATAGTAAGAAGAAAAACAAAAGAAGCATCAATATTTCCCTCATGTAAAGCTTAGGTCATTATTTTTTCCTGCTAAGCCTTGTTATAAATCACCTCCCGGTAGGTGACCAGAGCTGAAACAGGTTCTAATTGATTTGGAAATTTTTGTTACAGTTTGGACTGGTTTTGATTATCTAAATTACTATACAAGGTTGTTCTATGGAACATCTGAGATCTGACATAGAGGGATAGACAAAGCCCTTTGTTTATATAAATCAGAAAGAGAAAAAGAATAAATGCAATTTGTTTATATAAAGAATTTTTTTTTGTACAAAATTGTATATAGCATCAGTCAGCAGACTTTGTCCTTCCATTCCAACCATCCGACCAATAGACGGTTCGTATGAATGAGCGAGAGGGCCAACTGAATATGCATGAAGGTTCGTATAAACCATGTGTTGAATCAATTACCTAGCATGAAAAAAAAGAAGAGGGAAAGTACCCAATGTATACAAAATAACTGCATCAAAGAAGCAACTACGTACCGATCTTGGTTATAATCATATATTCTAGGCCCATGTACACTTTGGTCAGAGATAATTCATAAATTTTAAGCGGTCCACCAGGAAATATATGCCGCAGATAAACACCATTGGTCAAGAAAACTAGCAGCATGGCAAGAAGCAGCACTATAAGACAGTTCAGAATGCAAAAGGCTTGAGTTTCTCCTCAACAAAGTATCTCTTAGAACCTCAAATTTAGAAGAAACAGTTCTGCAACTTCTGCAGTCTGTTCTAGAAAGAAGCAGTGTCAATTTAACCCAAATTGCTGGGATTAGCTACTTGAAAATTTTGTTGTTCTGGCCCATTTCTGCCAAACTTTCAAAAGGAATACGTACCATTCAGGCACATTTTTTGTAGTGTTTGTCTGTGCAAGGGGGTAATAAGCAGTTTAGATGATTATTATAATTCAATTGAGAAGATCATACTTGACCTAGCAGGCTCTCTTTATTAGAAAATGTCAACCAAGGAAATAAAAGGACTACAGCAATTACTGGGGAAAAGGGGAAAACTACAGCAAGTGCCAAAAGTATATTAACCTTTCAAGTATTATTGCCTCAATCAATAAGCTTCAAGCATACAACTACTAGAAAGTCAAAAATATGAAGATGGACAATTAGAGTAGTAACCAAATTTCATATAAAAACATAACTCACTATCAGCAGCAAGAAATTCCGAGACAGTCATGTCCTGACCAAGAACCCATTTTGCTGTACTCCTATGCCTCTTAAGCAACGGCCAGATTCTAAACAAGCAACCGAATAGCAGCCAAAAATCCTATCAGGCAATGTCTTAAACGCCATATCACCGTTCCAACGGCAATAACCGACGTAACACAGAAAGGTAAAAAGAATCCAACCACCCAAGACTCTCAACAAAATGTATAACATCAACACCAATTCCAATACAAAGAACCACAACTCCTAATGCCAATCTCACCTTCATTCTTATCCTCATTCTCCCCTTTTTCACATCAATTATATAAGATCTCAACGAGTCCTTCTTTTGACCCTCAGTTGAACAGTTCTCTACAAATAATTCTCTTGCAATTCAAGTACATAACTAACCATCCCACTAAGAAAAATATTGACAAAACCAAACCCGACCAACACAAATAATATTGAAAACAACTTGGTAGCCACTCTATTAGGGCAATATCACCATATCCAAATGTGAACACTGTGACAAAACAAAAATATAATGCATCAACAACAGGGTGAGTTTCATGACCCAGAAAATTATGACTATTAAACCAACATATAACAACAAGCAATGATAAATATAACATTAAAAGAACAAAAGCTTATCTTACAATAGATTGGGAACCAAATTGAGGCTTGGGAATTGAAGGGTGGATGTCATCGTTTAAAACTGCCATGGCAGGTGCCGTTTTGGACCTGTGAAGATTGGTTTTTTACCATGTGAAATTTCGGTCTTTTAACCATGACGCAGTTGCTGGTGATCATAGTTGGTTCTGTTGTAAAAGAGGGTTTCGAAGAATTATAATGTCTTTTCGAGAAGAAGAAGGAGACGGTTGTTGGAAACAAAAACAAACAGGCGCAGCACAGCACCCAAACACAAATAATACAACAGACCTAAAAATAGAAACACACAAATATACTTACTTGGCCTAATAAAAAATATCTACTGTAAACTCTATCCACTGACAAAATGTCTTTATTAATTATGAAACTTTTGGAACTTGAAAAAATGACCAAAAAAAAAAAAAAACTACTTAATTAAACTTAATCTCAAAATATAGTTACCCTCTTTTAATAGTCCACTTACTATTCTTCTAGTTTCTATTCTTCTTTTAGTGTCTAACTATTGAGATTACAAAACTTAAACCAAAGAATCTTCTCATATAATTTTAGTAATCTTTTCAGAATTCAAGACAAACTCTCAAAGCTAACTTCACTAGAATTTCCGTGTGGGAGCTAGAGACTCAAAACAAATTCTCAACAGTGGATTGGGTGAGTTAAGGGATGAAATCAAGGGATAAAAAATTGGAGATGATTCAGTTGGAGAAGAAGAGGATGGAGAGGGACCAAATATGAGTCTATCTTTTAATTCTGATTGGGTAAAAGGGAGACGGAGAGAGACCTCATTGTTTTCTGGGAGAGGAAAGAGAGTTGGCCGTAGCGTGTTCTCTTTCTGGGACTTACATACGGCAGCAAAGGATCATTTTCCATATGGAAAATCGTCTGACAAAAACGAATATGAATGTGAATCTGCATAAGCAAAATAGAGCATGTAATTGTGTTTGGTGCATAGAACACGGAGTAGAAAGAGACAGTGAGTTTGGATGAAGGGAGTGATTTTTGTTTGGTTTCGGGAGTTTTATTTTTCCAAGTAAAACGGAAGATATATTTTATCTCATGAAAGACATGTAATATGCACGAGACAAACGAAAGTGTCTGTGCCAAGGGAACAGTTTCTTTGCCGTGTCATTTAGATTTAGTTTCGATTTAAGAGGAGGAATCTGCTAGTGACACTAGCTTTTGTAGAAGCGCCCGCTAGGTTGTGACGGTGCGAAGATTTTTCAGGTAACCAAGGGAATTGTTAGGGCCATACCCGCACAGCCAACAGGCATCCGAAGCTGTTGTTTGGTTTGGGTTTAAAAAATTATTATATTTCAGGAATTGATTAATTCCAGATGAAGCATCAGTTGCCAAACCTCTGCCTCCATTATATTTTGACTTATATAAGCATTTTGACATGACTCAATAAACTGTAATCCAACGGCCAGGTTTATTGCTCAACACAGCCTATCACAGCATTGCAAAGGAAACGCAGTCTGAAAATATGAAAAACCCACTAAAAGTGGGTCCATGAACTCCATGAATCTTACATACAACCCACAAAAGAGGCTGAGGTTTCACACTAATCGTCATCATCAAGAACACTCCGACGCCTCTGGATCTGTAAAATCAGATAAACAATGGAGAAAATTCAAAATATTTCAAACTGTGAGCAGATACATTAAATAAGAAGCAACCCGTGATGACTTACCGTGACTTTGGTCTGTTTAGTTGTTTGGGTGTTTATCTGTTCCAGCAGTGATATAAGCCTCTCTTCAGAAACCTTCACATGGGTTAAACCAAACACATTTTAGTTCTTTATCAAGCTAAGTTAGAGACATGGCACAGAACAATTGCACCTCTTAATACTAGGCATGCAACAAAAAGCAATGAGACCAAAAATTCACCATACCTTGTCAACTATCTGACCCATCTGAGCACCTCTTAGTAGAACATCCTCAACACCCCTTGCCTTCTCAGGTTTCACTAAGGCAATTCGAGCAACTGCAAAAAAAATTATTGCAGCAAATAACATAAATGACAAGGATTATTTGTATGCCTGGTGGTATTGATTCATTCATCTTTATTTACCTTCATCATATCATCATCCTCTTATTATCCTCTTTAATTCGTTTTTATTTAAAAGAAAAAAGGGGGCGAGGAAGAGGGGCTTTAATCACATAAGAGAAAGTTTTATGGATTATTTGTTCTTGATAGGAGTATGATATAAAGAGAAAACCTCATCATGCTACGATTCATTCCTGCCGGTTTATAACTGAATTAAACCTTCCACCACAACAACCCACATGAGGCCTGATTCCTATCCAATTCAATTTATATTTTGCAGAATGCCCAGTCTATTCTTATATTTACATATCTCACGCTATACAATTCAAATGTAAGCTGTGCCTTGATTAGCAAAAGAGAACAGATTAAATTCAATTTTTGACAAACAAGATAATTAAATGATCAAGATATTTCCTAGAATCCTAACATCTTACCTGGAAGGACTTCCAATTATATGTCTCCTACGATTCTTTAAAGTCCAAACTCATTAGGTCCTTTTAATATCAATAGATACTAATAAGCACGCTTCTGCTCATTTTCTAAATCATAAGACCATAAACAACCAAGATGACAAATACAGACATTTAGGCAAAGTAAAATGAATTCGAAGATATAACAATGCATTTTATATCATGAATATAGAATGGAACATTAAACTTCATATTCAAATAAAATAACTTAGAACAGTAAGCAATTCTATACGAACACACATATAAGCAATTAACAGCAGGTTTCTTTAATCAACCAAAAAGGTGAAATAACATACAAACTTACGTCTCTCACGAGCTTCAGAGGACAAAATCTGACTGAGCATCATTTGCCTCCGTTCATCTGCCTCCCTAAATTAATGGCTTTTATTTGTCAAATCGATGGTTTATCTTGATCCCATGAAAATTTCTTAAAACATATGACTTAAAAACAACATGCATCTACAAGAAACTGACCTCTTGGCATCTTCCTGAGCTTTCTGTTGATCAGGGTTCTGTTGATTCCCCTGTTTATCAGTAAACTCTGATTACTACCATTGAATTAAAAGAACCAGCAAGCCAATTTAGAATTCCTTATAAATTAAAATGAAAAGACCATAGATTACCACGCCATGTTGAGCCATTAGCTCTTGCATCCTTCTTCTTCTAATAGCTTCGAGTTCAGGATCAGCCTTCAAAATTAGGAAATTTCAGAATCCCCAGAATTCCAAAACATCAACACAAAGTAACTTAACTTAATTACAGTTGACCTTGGAACTAGAGGTAATTAGCATTTAAGAACAAAAAAATTAACCTAAATTTATCTCTCAAGTATAAATGGAATGTTCAAACAAAGAGAGGAAAAAAAAAAAAGAACCGGAGTGAAACCCTAATGAGATGTTTGGTTGCTGAGAAATTTAATAAGAAAAAGAACGGGAAATGAAAAGAATTACCATGGATTGGAAAGTGTTGGATTAACGCCTTCTTCACCGGAGAGAGAAAGAGGGAAAGTGGATACTGTTTTCGTGTTTTTGAGATTACAACAGGCTTTAGCTTTAGCTTCGGCACAAAGCGATCCGTGTATCTAAACTTAAGCCCTTCGCACTGGGCGGGCCCCACGGCGGTGCTTTCTTTTTCCTCTAAGGACCCATAACTTTATATTATAAATTTTAAAATACATTTTTAAATTAAATCTAAACAACAAATTATTTAGTTAATAAAATAATAATTTCATTCAGACCAAGCTCAAATTAAAAAATCATTACCAAATTTTACCAAATATGTCTATAGAAATTGTGATTTCATAGATAGAAAAAAGATTTTTATATTGTTAGTGAAATTTTTAAAATTTATTAATGAAATTAAAGTTAACATTTTTAAAGATAGATCACAAAAAATGAATATAAATAATAAAAAATGATATAATGATTAAAAAATTAAATAAAAATATTATTATTGATAAAAATAACTTATTTAAAAAGAATCAAATTATAATTTAATAAATTTTTTTTAAAATTTTTTATACAATCGATTCGAGAGTATAAGATATAAAATTTAGTGTGTTATTTTTTATTGATGAAATTAAAAGATTGTCATTTACTTAGTTGGGATGTATTTAAAAAACTAATAAATTAATAATGAAATTTAAACCATCAATTATGGATATAATCAATTGAGTTCAAGTTGATATAATATTAAGTTTGAGTACGATTCGAAATTCGATGTTCGAAACTTGACTCGAACTCTTTAGAGTTTTATTTTTTTAATTCGAGCTTATTTGAGATAAAAATCGAGCTCATTCAATTATGTTCAATTAACATATAAAAATAAACTCGATTCTTATATTTGATAAAAGATTGATTATTTATACTCGAATTCAAATTTAAGATATTTTATTAATTAAAATAATAAAAATATATTTAAATATAAAAATTTGATTAAGTTCGTAAGTTACTCCAGTCGAATATAAAAATACTCAAATTCTGTTCGATCGATAAGTCGAACTACTTGAGTTCGATTTGATAATAATTAAGTCAAATTTAAATTTTATTCGAATCAAATCTCAATAATTTATAAGTATTAATATATCATTTACATATCTACTATCAATTCAAAGAATAATAATCATATCATAAAAAAATAAAAGAAACATGGGAAAAAAATGTCATTTTACAAGCATTTTCCTAAAGAGAAATCAACTTTAAAGATAAAAGACAAAATAGAGTTTCTTTCATTGCAAAAAGAATGCAATTTATTAATTGCTGAAAACGAAAGGCATAAAGAAAAATGCTTTCCTCTTCAAAGTGGAAATGTAGCAATATCCTTTTCCACGTAGAAGAGGGTGACAGCTCCTAAATCCTACTATAATTTTATAGGTAAAACCAATATAAAATCTGCATGAAATTGCTTCAACAAAACCAAGTAAATCCTGATTTCACGTGACACCAGTTGTTTATAATTTCGTCAAAGATAAAATAGTAATGGAAAATTCAGGCAGCCCTTTTATTTACAGTCACTGACCACTGGCCCATGCAAATTGCAATCCTAATTTCCTTTTCTTTCTGCTTTGGAATTTGGATTGGATGCCTATGAAATCTAGATTTGCATGAGGTTTCTATCACTTTTTTGTTTCTTTGTTTTTTGTCAGTTATATGACTGATGACCCCACTTGATTCCAACGAGCGGTTCACATTCAATCTCCCCAATCAAATCTGAACACTGACAGCAAGATTATTGCATCTAATCTCACACTGAAATACTGGGAAGTGAGGTGAACTTAAACTAATCAAAGCTCCAAAATCCAGACCAGAAAAGAAGCAGACAAAAACTTGAAGTAAGCAAACACCAAGATCGAGGAAAAAGAAAGAATCAAAGCATCGTAGATAGAAGAAGTAGAGAGGAGGAAGACCAGAATCAATGGGTTTCACCATGGGATTGAACTTCCTCCTTCTCATAGCCATGGTGGCTACTAACATCCTCTCCCTTTACCACCTCTCTTCCACTGTCCTATCTCCCAAACCTCCTCTGCCTGTTCCTATACCTGATCACCTCCTACGCCAGCTGAATACTATACGCGCCACCATCAACCATCTCACGCGCCACAACCCCTCCACTGCCAGCGCGGCAGCCAATCCTAGCCGCACTGTACCTCAAGATCTCATCCTCCACTCACAAATCGGCCCCATTGCTTCTTCCTGCCACAACCACCCTGACCTTCTCCATAGGTACATGAATTACTCTCCTTTTTCAGTCTGCCCTTATGACCCTGACCTCCAAGAAACCCTTATTCTCAACGGTTGCCACCCACTTCCACGTCGGCGTTGCTTCTCGAAAACCTCATCAAAACCCCCTTCCTCTCTTCCTCTAAACCCTTTCCCAATTTCCTTCCCTGACTCCTCCGTAATCTGGAACAAATACTCGTGTAAATCTTTTGCCTGTCTTTCACAAAACAACCCCATAGGCTTCGATCTCAACGCTCAACGCTCTTCTCTGCTAAAATACTCTTCTGAACTCGATCTACCCGTTAACCAGTTCATGCAATTGGCTAAGTCAGCTAACTCGGTGATCCGTCTTGGCATTGACATAGCCGGCGGAACTGGAACCTTCGCTGCAATAATGAAAAAATTGTACAATGTTACGATATTGACCACCACCTTGAACGTCAATGCACCTTACAATGAAGCCGTGGCTTTAAGAGGGTTGGTGCCTTTACACGTGCCGTTGCAGCAAAGGTTGCCTGTTTTCGAGGGGACGATGGATCTGGTCCGGTGTGGTAGGGCGGTGAACAGGTGGATACCAGTGACGGTGATGGAGTTTATGTTTTATGATGTGGATAGAGTGTTGAGAGGAGGAGGGTATTTGTGGATGGATCGGTTCTTTAGTAAAGGAGCGGATCTGGAGAAAGTTTACGGGCCATTGATTGGGAAGCTTGGCTATAAGATAGTGAAATGGGCAGTTGCCAATAAGACGGATCCAAGTGGCTTGAAGAATGGGGAAGTTTACTTGACAGCCTTGTTGCAAAAGCCTGTTTCAAAGTGATGATGCCAAATGGGGATTCATTGAAATTTTTAGGTAATTAATTAACTTTATTTCTTTAATTTGGTGGTACTACTAGTTTTTGGTGAATTTGTTTTGTTGTAGAAATTTAGGGGGTGGGGGGGGGGGGGACTTTTCCTATTTTGGGACCTGAAAAACTTACTTATTACTGCATTTTTATTGCATCTCTGGGTTAGGTGGTTATTTGATCTGAGGTAAAGGTGATGCATATTCATTGTGTATTAACAGTGACATTATCCTAGTTGTTGAGGAGTTGAAGTGAATTGTTGTTTAAAGTCCTATGTAATACTAAATTTATGAAACTGTTGAATTTCTTGCTTCACTTTGGGGATAAGGTGTTGAACTTATAAGTTTCATATCTCAATGATAGCATTTGCATTTGATCTTGTATTTGATTCAAGAGTCCCTTCAATTTTGTGTGTATGTGTGTGAATTTCTTCTGATTGAGGGTATCAGAGTTGAGGTCTTATTATGTGAGATAATAAATCATCTGAAGAGGGGACCTAAGTCTACAGCATCATCAAATTCATTATTGTTTGCACATTGTCTACTTTCCATCCTATGTCCCATGTTGACCTTTTGAAACCTGAATGGCCCTTCAGATTTTCACACTGTTGAAGCTTTACCTTTGCCTCTTGTCTCTGTTCCTGCTGTCGAAAACCAAAAGCTTGATTCCACTTCAACTAAGATTGTGATAAACGATGATATGATCTTGTTACCATAGTTAGGTATAACATTATTGGGAGTTTGAATAATTTGTTTTGGATAATGGAGTTTTTACTATTTGAAAATTGAATTGTGTATCTGGTTTAAAGATAGAAAGGATCACTTTTATGAACTGAATAAAGCAATCATTTGACTTGTAGTCTCTGCAGCACTTCATGTTCATCTAAAACTGCTCAAACGCTTGCTCATATTTTGTTTAACGAAACATTTTAGTTTAATCCTTGTTGAATGTTTGCCGTAGTTTTGCAATCCCATTATGCCTATCATTATACTTCAATGGATTGTGATTAGAATAGATTGATTTCTTCAACAAGTTTGCTGGATAAAGCTTTTAACACATTTGGCTGCACTATAAAAGCATATTGATTCCTACTTTGATCGTAACCAGTGAATATCCACTTATTTCCTGATACTGATGTCAGATCACAATTGCTTTGATGCCGGAAACATGCCATCATCTGTCCAAAGATCAACATCCGCGCTCAGACAAGCTGGAAGAAAACCTTTGCTTGAGTAACAAAAACAACTTATGTATTCGCTCCAATGTTGATGAGGATTTCAGCAGCTTCTTGATGTTGTAAAGATTGTAGATGTCCGAAAAATTTTATAGAGAGGAGCAGAGAGGGTATTGTACAATCACAAGGTTCTGCCGACAGTGACGTGATTTGTTGGTAGATTGAATGTTAGATTTTTAGTTTTAGTGATCATGGATCAAACATTTTGTTGCTGTCTACAAATAAATCTGTAGAACAAATCTCAAATATTGAAGTAATACCATTTTCTTTTGGTTTGGTTTAGCAGTACGATGAAAAAAATTGTTGAAAAAGAAGCGTAAGAATTTGAATTACAATTTAAAAAATTTTAACGTCTTTGTTTAGAGGCTTAAAATGAAAAAAATTGCCCATGATGGTGTCAATTGTCAAAGTCAGTACTGGGGCAAAAGTAAAAATACAGAAAATAAAGGGGCGCTTAAACAAATAATGTTAATTTGCTGGTAATAATAGTAAGTTACATTTATTAATTTCATCCTTCGTCCCGTTTCTTTCACGTCGCTTAAAACGCACAGTTGCAGCTAAGAGGAACATCTGTCAAAAAAAAAATCCGATCTTTTCCGAGAAAATCTTTCCAAACGAGATAACAATGGTCAGCTTTCTTTCTCTATCTTTCAATTTTGCATTGTACGAACCTTAAGAAAAAATTTTCTAATTTGCGTTTTATAGATCTGCTTTGGCTATGTTCAGTTATCTCTAACGCAGATCTAAACTTATTGACTTCGAATTTGAATTTAAATTTTCATTATAATTTTAATTTTTCTAAGAGCTAGTCTCAGATCCAATCTCTCTATGAGCTTTGCTTTTCTTGTTTGTAGGAGTTGTGCCCTTCAATTAAGAACATCCTTCTTTTGGATTCCGAAGGGAAACGTATAGCTGTTAAGTATTATTCAGATGACTGGCCAACGAATTCTGCAAAGGAAGCCTTTGAGAAAGCAGTATTTACCAAAACCCAAAAGACTAATGCCCGTACCGAAGGTAGATTAGTTTCTGCACTATGTTTTTGTTGATCTGACTGTATACATGTAAATCATACAGATTATAAGGCTGACAATGGTGAGTTCATCAGTTATTTCCTTTTGGGAATTTAAAAAGGTTGTTTCCTTGTGCACAAAGGGTTTACCTTGGATGTATTGTTTTGAACGATGTTTTCATTGTTTTTATGTGGGTGAATCAGAAAACATCCTGGGTTGGCATTGGATCAAGTGTTGCTTCAGATTGCTATTTCAACTTGGTGCTTTATTTTTTGTTTACAGCTGAGATAACAATGCTTGAGAACTATATTGTCGTGTACAAGTTCGTTCAAGACCTTCACTTTTTTGTTACGGGAGGCGAAAATGAAAACGAGATTATTTTGGCCACAGTGCTCCAGGGGTTTTTTGATGCAGTTGGACTTCTCCTTAGGTTTTTTCATAATTCTTTCTACTATTACCATCGTTCTAAGCATGTGTGCGATATCATCATGCCTAATTTTGACTTTTTTTCCTTGTTTTCTCTACCCATTGTTCCAGAGGCACTGTGGACAAGAAGGAGGCGCTGGAGAACTTAGATCTTATTTTGTTGTGCCTCGATGAGATTGTTGATGGCGGGTATGAATTATCATTTGTTGTACTATTGTCGTTGAAGTTGAATTATTTTAGTTTCGTGAATCTTTTAATAGACAGTTTTCTTTGCTTGTATGATTATTTGCGGTGTCTCTGGTATCTATCTGGGTTTGATCTGTAAAAATGTAAATCTTGTATGATTCAAAGTTTCACATGCCATAGACTGACTAGTCATTGGTCAATGGAAGTTGGTTTTTGCTACTGGAAAATGTTATTGTTGATATGATATCCACAGATATTTCATTAGACCAAGACAGTTCTTGGCTGGAAATGTCTCTTAATTCTTCTTCCCCCTCCCCCTCTAAAATACCATCAAATGTACTGATGGTAGACTAGGTTAAACATCTGGATGCCTCTGCACTAATCACATGTTTTACCCCTATAATGATGTAGGTGAGAAGATTGAAAGCAAAAAACATAAATGACTAGTATTTAGATTTTTTGTATTCACACCTTAATGTTGGATGCATTAGATGGGGAAAGAAAAGGATAGGAATTAGAATATAGAACGAAGGGAAAAAGAATGGTAAGGGAAGTCACCAGAAGCATCTGTCCCCTGAAGATGCTTATCTTATCACCCTGTTTGACTGTTTTTATCTTTGTGCAGTATCATTCTTGAAACTGATGCAAATGTTATTGCGGGGAAGGTAGCTAGTCATAGTTTGGATGCTGGAGCTCCTTTGTCTGAGCAGGTATGACGACCCTTATTCTTGAAACAAGCAACACTCCTTCCTCTTTTTTAATTCTTCTTCTGATAATATCTTCCCCTAGAAAGCCTTAATGAATTCTTTAAATAGTGAAATATCAATGACTATTGCCACAATATTAACACATTTGGTGTTGCACAGACGATAACTCAAGCATTGGCTACTGCAAGGGAACATCTTACAAGATCTCTCCTCAAGTAATGCAAATACACCAGGCTGAAGGAGAGAAGCCAGAGGATATATCTTTTTGTAATGATACTACATCTGATGTGCTTAGGATAATCTTGGTGTCTTTTTGGGTGCAATAGAAATGCTTACACTTCGGATGATCAATTGATGTCATTGCCAGGTTATTTTCTTGATATTACTGAGTCATTATGCAAATTGGGCTGCTACCCCTACATAATGGCAAAAATACTAGATGGTGGTTTTTATTGTAGTGGTAAGCTGAAAATTAAATACATTGAGCCATGCTGATAACAAAATAACTGCATGAAGGTGCTTGTTGGAGAGTGGCATGTTTTCCTTAACTTACTGGATACTTAAGGTTTATATCGAGTAGCTTTTACTATGATCTAGATCTCTCCTTTATACCACAAACAAAGTATTTGCTTAGTTGATTTAAGTCAGGCATGGAGGCATTATCTCAGTCTCTCAGCCCATTGCATCCAACAAATAAAGCATTGGGAAGTAAATGAATCTAATTACTTTGTGGATCTAATCGTACGTCTGTGCTATAAAATTTATCCTTTTCTGCTGTACTCCTTTTAGCAAGCCATAGACTGAACAAATGGTTACTGTATTATTGGACGAGAACATAATCTGCATCATCAAGGAATGCATCTCCAGCAGTCGGAGTCAAGTTATTCCGATAAGTACTTCTACAAACCTAGGCATCAGCTTCTGCCTGCGTTTTAACCTGTTCTTGTAACTCTAGCTTCCTAACTTGCACCTGCTCTTAATCGACGGGCTTTTTTAGTCCAAAATAAGGCAAGCCAATCACAATCAGCACAATTCCTATGGAGATGAGGATGGCTGAAAACAAACCAAATGCGTATGGTGTATCCTCTGTTCCAGGGGTCCCATCAAAACATTGATGCCATACCAAACAATCAGACCAGTGGTGATGGAAAGAACAGGGCCACAACCCCAAAAACCAAATCTGTGGGATCAGGGAATTTCAATTGCCAAATGCGGTTAAAAGTTCAAAGCTGTTGATTCTGGCTTGGGCTGAATTCTCAATTGGAAAAACAGAAACGTGGAAGAAAACAAAAGGCCACTTCAGGTCCAAACACAGAAAACGTTTTGTTTTTATAAAATTTTATTTTATAAAAATAATTTGTTTTGATTAACTTAATTACAATTTTTAGCAAAAAAAAAAAAAACTTCATTGCATTTATAGATTATGAAAAATTATTTATAATGGAGTTTTTAAATTAAAAAAAGTTGATACATCCCACTTCGATATATTTCAAGAATCAATAAATTAATATAATAAAAATATATAATAGTATTTTAATTGTTCTTTTAAATAAAATTAACTTGTCTTTAACTGAAATAAAACATAAATAGTGCAAAATTAGTGAAGCAACTTTGTGATAATATAAAATTTTGCTTGAAAATATTCACTTGTTTTTCTTCATTGAATGTTTGAATTTTGTAGAACAATTTTTTTAAAATTTTATTTTCTTATAATATGTCATTTAATTTTATGTATATGTAACATAATACTTATAATTATAATAAAAAAATCATCTATACATCGCACCGTCCACAAATTAGCTAATAATCCTTGTATATAGTGTTTATAAAATTGAAGCAATGATAGAGAGAGATATATAGCACGGGATACATGCATGCTAGATTTAAATGACCTCAGCTCATAGACTAGGTTGGTTTGTCTACCATAGAAGGAACAAAATCCAACATACAAGGACAAATTTGCCAATATTTTAATTAATTGATACATATTGCCCATTGTTTTGGCATCGAACACCTGCTAATATTTAAAATAACAATGGTGGATTAAAAAAAAAGACTCTAAAATCCGCTATATCTAGCTAGCTGCATTAGGATATTAATATTCATGGAATGCATGGTAGAAGGAAAGGCAGATCTGTTTTCTAGATTCATATAAGATCACATGTTCTGTTTTTGGCTTCACACTGTGATGTCCGATTAAAGTTTTTGCAGGCAGCCATACAGAAATGGACATGCGATAGTTTTTGTTCTTTCGGTGACCTAATTAGTAATCATGAAATCCACCATGTATTCTCAAAGCATAAAATAGGTGAAAAGCCATGCCATAAACAGGGAAAAAGGTTGAAGGCGACAGTTTCCTAACGGTAAGAGTAGGTCAGAGCGAGATTTTATGCATTATTTATTATGCAAGGAGACCAACGAGCCAGCAACTGAGGTGACTATCATCATCACCACCCTGGAATTGATCTCTAAATAAGTGGCAAAACGCATTTGCTTTCATTCGGGTTACAGTTCTTTTCTCTCATCTATTTTCTCTCCTTGGCTTGATCTTTTTGGCACTCCTTTTTAGCCAGGACTGAAGCTGTGAGCTAAAGAAGAGATTTTCGACCTCATCAGAGCAACATGATCAGGTGGCTCCGGATAGCCCTCTACACAATCTTTGTCCTCAGTGGCCAAACAGCAGCTGCACTGCTTACAAGACTCTACTTTGAGAAAGGTGGAAGTAGCAAATGGGTTGGAACACTTGTTCAAGTTGTGGGTTTCCCTGTTATCCTTCCCTGTTACTTCATTTCACGACGCAAATTAGTTACCATACCGAACAGTATTAGTACTGCTGATGTCAAAACAAAACCATCATCACTCCTTTTGCTCGTTTGCGTCTATGTGTACCTTGGACTACTTGCGGCTGGAAATTCGTATTTGTATTCAGTTGGCTTTGAGTACCTCCCCGTATCTACGGTAGCAGTGATTTCGGCATCCCAGTTGGCCTTTAACGCTTTCTTCTCTTATTTCCTCAATTCACAGAAGTTCACCCCTTTCATCATCAATTCTCTGGTTCTCCTCACCATTTCCTCCGTTCTCCTGGTAGCAAATAATAGCTCTGAAAGGCCTCCTGGAGTCTCTAATGGAAACTATGTACTTGGGTTCATATGCACCATTCTTGGAACTGCTACATATGGCTTGTCGCTTGCTTCCCAACAGCTGACCCTTCGGAAGGTTCTAAAGCAGCAGTCATTTAAAGTTGTCATGGATCTTATAATCTACCAATTCCTTGTTGCATCCATTGCTACATCTATAGGATTCTTCGCATCCGGAGATTGGAAACTTTCAAAGAAAGAAATGGATAGATATACACCGGGGAAGATTTCCTATGTCATGACCCTGCTTTGGACTGCTGTTGCTTGCCAGATTTCCGTTTTTGGAAGTGTGGCATTGATCTTTGAGTTTTCTGCTCTCTTTTCAAATGTCATAGGTGCATTGGGATTGCCAATTACTCCAGTAGCTGCCATTTTCGTTTTCCATGATAAAATGAGCAGCATAAAGTGCATATCCATGGTGTTGGCTATTTGGGGCTTCCTTTCCTATACCTATCAGCATTACCTCGACGACCGTAAGTTGAATGTTGAAACTGAAAAAACGAGCGAAGTTTCTGAGCCTTGACGCTCACTCCGGCCAGTGTCCATATAATCTTCTTCTTCTTTATCAAGGCTTTATCATATTTTGCTTTGATATTATGATTGAAGAAGCCTTCATGGTTTCAGATTATTCTCCATTGAGAATTGGTTTAATAAAAGTGATTTTCGTGGCTGGTATGAATTTGCTACATGGGGCTTTTGGCTTTCCTTTTCATATGTTTTCTAGTACCATCTGGACGTAAAAAGAGTGACAAACAATTAGGAAAGGTAGTTAAGTATCAACAAAATCTTTGAACAAATTAGTGGAGATCTCATCCCACACCAATGAATCAACTAATTAAATCATATTTCGTACACAACAAGACAAAAGTGCAAAACAGTAATTTTCTATATTAATTAAAATAATGCAATTTCTTCATACAATATAAAGAAAGGTGATGTATATGCATTCCTCAGTTAAAAATTTAACACATCTTATTAGGATATATTTTAAAAAATTAACAAATTAAGATAATAAAAAAAATACATGATAGTACTTTAATTTCATTTGTGAAAATTTAACATTTATAATACAAATTTATTTTTAAAATAAAATTAATTTTGAGTTAATGCAAAATTTTGCTTCAAGATATTCACTAAATTGAAGCAAATTCAAGATAGATATAGAGCACGAGATACATGCTAGATTTAAATGACTTCGGCTTATGATAGTTTAATAGAAAAAAAAAAAAGGTTCAAACTCCAAATATATAAGGACAAAATTGCAACATCTTGAATTGATTGTTTTGGCATTGAACACTTGCAAATATTAACAATGGTGGATTAAAAAAAATCATTTAAAACTTTGTCAATGAAAATTTTTAATTTTACAAACGAAATTAATAAAATATCACATACTATATTTTTGTGCGATATGTGTCAGAATTAAAAAATTTTATTCTCCATGTATTTGATTTGATAATTTCTTTGAAAATGCCTTCAAAATCATTGTAGCTGCATTAGGAGTTTATATTCTCACGGGCTGGATGCCAGCAGATTAGACAGATCCTTTTCAAGATTTATGATCTGTTCTGGGCTTCAGCCTGTAAAGGGTTGTACAAAATTTAACTTGGGTTTCATTTTTATTTTCTATTTAGAGGATTTTTCAATGAAGTAAAAAGTTACATTTTCAACCTTATAAATAGAAAAAAATGAAAGTTTTTTTTTTTGGCCAAACAAATGAAAGTTGAATCATGCGAATTCTGACTACGAATAAAATAAAGCAAGAATTGATTGTTCAAACTTGCTTTGAAATTCTCAGTCAAGTGTTTGCAACCATGCATAAGGAAATGGGACGGCCAGAAAGTTACGTTTTCCTGAAACCAATTATTCTCAAAGCACAAAACAAGGCCACTAACAGGAAATGGGATTTAAAGCGACAGTTTCCGTTATAAGAGAAACTGCATGTATTATTTGTTATGCAATGAGAACCAGGTACCATCACCAGCCTGGTTTTGAGCTATAAATAAGTGGCAACACGCATTTGATTTGAGTTGGATCACAGTCCCTTACTCTCATCTCTTTTCTCTCCTTGGCTTGATCTGATATATCTGACATTCCTTTTAGTTATCGTTGAAGCTCAACAATTACAACTCCACATCATGGGTAAGTGCATAAACACTTTCTACATACATTGAAACATTATCTGAGAAGTTTACTCAAAGAGTTCTATTCAAAACCAGCTCGTTATACTTACAGATGGAGATCTTAATAGTAACATCATCTCGACCCAATATATTGTTAGATGATATTGCTGCTTGATCTGCCCCAGGAATTGTTAAACCCAAACTCTCTTCGATCTCCAACCAACCTAACATCCAGAAATAAGAGTTTTACATACCAAAAATGACATCTTATTATGTTCAAATTAATGTTATCTGTTAAAAGTAGAACTAAATAGTTTACTGCCATTTTAGACATTCCAGAAACTAAAGGAGCAAATTCAAGTACCGGACCTGTCAGCGAAAGAAGAGATTTTCGACCTCAGAGCAACATGATCAGGTGGCTCCGGATAGCCCTCTACGCAATCTTTGTCGTCTGTGGCCAAACATCTGCTTCACTGCTTACAAGACTTTATTTTGAGAAAGGTGGAAGTAGCAAATGGGTTGGATCACTTGTACAAGTTGTTGGTTTCCCTGTTATCCTTCCTTATTACTTCATTTCACAACGTAATTTAGTTACCACACCCAACAGTACCAGTACTGCTGCTGTCAAAACAAAACTATCATCGCTCCTTTTGCTCATTTGCGTCTATGTATACCTTGGACTACTTGCGGCTGGAAATTCGTATTTGTATTCAGTTGGCTTTGAGTACCTCCCTGTATCTATGGTGGTACTGATATCAGCATCCCAATTGACCTTTAACGCTTTCTTCTCTTATTTCCTCAATTCACAGAAGTTCACTCCGTTCATCATCAATTCTCTTATTCTTCTAACAATTTCCTCCGTTCTCCTGGTAGCAAATGATAGCTCTGAAAGACCTCATGGAGTCTCTAATGAAAAATATGTAACTGGGTTCATATGCATCATTTTTGGAACTGCAGCGTACGGCTTGTCGCTTGCTTCCCAACAGCTGACCTTTCAGAGGGTTCTAAAACGGCAGTCATTTAAAGTTGTCATGGAGCTTATAATCTACCAATTCCTTGTTGCATCCATTGCTACATCGATAGGATTCTTCGCATCCGGAGATTGGAAACTTTTAAAGAGCGAAATGGATGGATATGCACCTGGGAAGATTTCCTATGTCATGAACCTGCTTTGGACTGCTGTTGCTTGGCAGGTTTCCGTTTTTGGTAGTGTAGCATTAATCTTTGAGTTGTCTGCTCTCTTTTCAAATGTCATAGGTGCATTGGGATTGCCAATTACTCCAATAGCTGCCATTTTCGTTTTCCATGAGAAAATGAGTGGTATAAAGGGAATATCTATGGTGTTGGCTATTTGGGGCTTCGTTTCCTATGCCTATCAGCACTACCTCGACGATCGTAAGTTGAATGCTGAAACTAAAAAAGCGAGTGAATTTTCTGAGGCTTGACGCTCGATCAGGCTAGCTTCATCAGTATATCAAGGGGAAAGGCCAGTGTCCGTTTATATATCATCTTCGTTCTGCTTTGTGAAATCGTTTGAAGTAATAATTTTTATAGCATATTATCTTACCATATTTTGCTTTGTTATCGTGAATTGGTGATTGAGAATCCTTCATGGGTTTTCAAGCAATAAAGGAAGCTTTAATTATTTTCAGATTACTAATTATTCTTCATTGGGAAATGGCATAAAATGATTGTGGTGGTACGAATAATTCGCTATAACCAAACGTAAAAACGGCGATGTTGGGCAATAAGATTAACCAACCAAATCTTTCAAGTGGTGATGTTATTCTCCACCAATCATTCAACTAACTAAACCATAAATTTGGTATACGACAAAACAAAAGTACAAAACAGCATATTTTACATAAATTAAAGTAATGCAATTTTAATATAAAGACAGAGAGACAGACACAGAGAGAGAGAGAGAGAGAGAGAGAGAGAGAGAGAGAGAGAGGGAGGGGGGAAGTGGCCAGGAGTTTTTTGATACGGTTGGACTTCTCCTTGGGTTTTTTTTTTTTTTTTCATATAAAACAGTGTTTTGATGCAGGGCCACAGAAATAGTTAATTTCTACAATCACCATAAACCTTTCAGTCTTGTGTGTGTGATATCATCATGCCTAATTTTGACCTCCTTGTTTTCCTGTTCAAGAGGCACTAGAGAACTTAGATCTTGTTTTGTTATGCCTTGATGAGATTGTTTATGGCGGGTTTGATTTGATCATTCATATTGTACTAGTGAATTTGAGGTTGAATTAATTTAGCTTCACTGAATCTCTCAGTGGACATGTTTCTTTGCTTGTAGTATGATCATTTAAAGTGTCTCTAGTATTTATCTGGGGTTTGATCGGCACAAAAAGTAATATCTTGCATGATTCAAAGTTTAAAATGCAACAGACAAGTTACAGGTCAATGAAAGCTTGTCATTGCAACGGGAAAATTTTATTGTTGGCATGACATACTCAGATATTTCATTAAACCAAGACAGTTCTTGGCTGGAAACGTTCCTTAATTCTTCTTCTTTTTCCCCCTTCAAATTCCATCGAAGATAGAGATGGTTGACTGGTTATCATCACCGGCCTGGTTTGATCTAGAAATAAGTGGCAAAACGCATTTGCTTTGCACTGGGTTACAGTCACTTCTCTCATCTCTTATTCTACTTGGCTTGTTCTTATCCCGTGAGCCTTTTTAGTCATGGCTAGCTGAAGCTCAGCAAGTACAACCCCACGTCATGGGTAAGTGCTCACCTTCGTCTACATGCTTTGAAACATCATCTAAGAAGCATGAAAACAATGTTCTTTTTTTTTTTTTATCAAAACTAGATCAGATGGAGATCTTAATATTAACACCATCTCCACACAATATAGTTGTTAAATGACATTGCTGCTTGATCTGTAACCGACAAAAAAAAAAAAGAATTTTAAATGCCTAAAATGGCATCTTATTCTGTACAATGTATCCGTCTGTTAAAACTAGAACATAATAGTTTACTACCCTTTTAGACATGCCAGAAGATGACGCAGAAAATTCAAGTACCTGTGTCTCGACCTCAGAACTACATGATCAGGCGGCTCTGTATAGCCCTCTACACGATCTTTCCGATATGCGGCAAACCACAGCTACACTGTTTACGAGATTTTACTATGAGAAAAGTGGATGGAACAAATCAATGAAGATATTATCCTAAACCAATCAGTCAACTAATTATTAAATCATATTTGGTACAAAAGCACTAAACAGCATCGTTATAGTGGTTTTATCTTCCGTATTTGTTAAATATAAATTTTTTTTATAATTTTATATTTAAATTAAATTTCTATATCAAAATTCATGTAACACACAAATTTCATTCCTCTTGAAAAGGCCATCACCAATTATGCATCCTTGAGTTTCACGATTATTCTTGGAGAATATAATCTATAAATGCATAGCAAGCAATGGCTAATTTGGGATGGGTGAAGCAATTTCGTCCTCCCCTTTTGGGTAGACAAAATATTAGTATGTAGTATTATTTAAAGACGACTTTAAGAAACTTTCCACTTGTGGACTGCAATGAAGAAGAATAATTAAGAGAATCTATCAAACATTCTCTGTCGGATTATATGCTTTGATCAGACACTGTAACAACTGTCGCTACTACATTATCATCAATGTAAGAATCATAAAATAATATCAAATGCAACTTGAAAGAAAAAATATTCGGAACAGTGGGCTAATTGATTGTATAAAGACCCATCAAGTAGTTTTAGGGTAAGGCCACCCTCTATATGAATATATTTTTACAAATTGATGGTTAGCTTAAAAAATCTATTCATTTTCAAAATTTTCAATCATACTATCTTTTTCATTGAGAATAGTATTTTTTTTTTTAAATATACAGTAATGATTCAAATTTTATTATTATCAAATAAATAGTTAGGTATTGTCAATTTACTTAAAATTTTGCATGCATTATTTACTGGAATAAAACATAAAATTAAAAAAATTAAATTAACAAAACATAAATCATATAAAAATATATAAAAGGTATAAAACTAAATTAGTTTTACCATGCAAATGAATCATTTTTTGCTTTATATATAATAAGATGGAAGTATATTATTTAAAATTATTATCGTGTAATTAATCAATTATAATTTAATATTATGTAAAATTTATAAAAAAAAAAAATTTATGTAGAGTATATTTTTAAGTGATAAATCCATTTATAATTTTTTATTGTGTTTAATTAATTGTAGGATTATAGTAAAGAGAATGGTAGATTAAATGCTTCTATAATAAGACATCGCTCGCATAGGCAGCCCTCTTATCCTCTCTCTGGGAAGGATAAGGAATCCTGGCTTCCAGCCTTTAAATACGACTAATTACTTGTCTGCCTATTTTTATCTTGAAGAGAATTTAAAAAAAGAAGAGAAAAGAAAAGAAACATCCCGATGAGAATCCTGCAAAACTTATCTCATGAGAAAATATTTTAGCAAGTGTATTCCTTGGGCATGCGTGAAGTTAAGAGATTGGTGTTGCCCTTTTTTTTTTAATAGTACCAGTGCGCATAGATTTTACTCTCACAAAAATTGAACTCTAATTGACTTTGATTGACAAAGAAAAATCAAAAGAAAACTTCTTGCCTTAACAACGCGACTAACTTTTTTGAGTACTCTCATATGGCATTGGTTTTGTTATCACTCCAATGGAGCAATTCCAGCTTTTAAACGATCAAATTCAGGATTTAGATTCGGAAGGGAAAACCTATTTCTGGCCCTGCTCGACCCACTGTAATTACTCTGACCTTAAATCTTTCGATCTTTCATAATGGATTTCAAATAGTAAGTTATTTGCCCTAACTTTCAATGGCCACCTATTAAAGAGAGGAAACATATAAAAGCAAGAATCCATTGGGCTTTCTTTACTTCTTCTTTTTTCCCTCTTAGAAACGATCCAAATTCATAGGTAGAAAATGGTCTATTTGTGGAATGTAGAAATAACAGACTAAAATGTCAATGTAAATGATGGCAATAGCTCTGGCTAAAGAGTATATTTCAACTCAACGAGACATTAGACACGAAAATGAGAGATCAAATTAAAAGGGCAAATCTTCACTATAAGAGGGGGATAACAGGAAAAGAATGGAGAAGTGAAGGGCAAAGTCCACTATTCCAAATTAGCACACTGCGTACCTAAACATAACCAGGCAATAAATAACCAGAATACAACCTCGTGGTACAGGACAGTAGCCAGTCAAGGTCTCTTCAGACCCACCAATGATGTATGTAATTATTCAATCCCAAGAATGCCTTTGATTGGCTACTTTCAATCTCACTAAAAGACCCTGAAAAACCATGAGGTGACAATATTAGTAATTGTTTTGCCAGAACTGTTGGGTCTGCTTTGACGGCTGACCTTGAGACCCACTCAGGGGTCCATCCCTAGGGTTTTGCGGCTGATGGTCCAGCGATACTCCCGTTTGTGAATGGTAGAAATTTGGGTATCCAAGAGCCCCAAAATGCTGTGAGGGCTGTTGCCCTTGTCGAAATCCAGCAGCCTGCTGGTGCTGCCCCTGGAAGCTGTAATATGTGCTTGCAGGAACAGCAGACATTGTTCGTGAGCCAGGGCCGTGAATCCACATGGCTGAATTCTCATTCTGGCCACAAAAAGAAAGAAAAGAAATGGCCCGCTTCATATTCAAAGCAGCAGAAAAGAATAATAAATAAATTCATAAATACTGAAGTACATAAAATCATGGAACCTTGGGAGTAAAGGGAAGAAAAGGACAGACTTTTCATCATTAATTCAAGTACCATCGCATAAGAATGAGTGCAATTACTCATACACTATCATTTAGTAATGAATGCAAGCTGTTCATTCAAATGAGATCTCTCAATGCTTGATATAGCAATTACCTGTTGAAGAGACATCAAATGATTGTTGTCCTTGTATGGAGAACTCAGAACATCATCGTAGCCAATGGTTGTACCTGTAGGTGCAGCAGGTGGATTCAGAGGAAGTCCTCCAGGAATGCTTGTAGAACTCCCAAACCCATAGCCAGATGCGATTGCAGCAGTTTGAGGCAAGCTACTAACAGAAAGGCTATTTTTGCTTTGGGGGAGCACTGCTGCCAGGGACTGAGGGTAGTTACTATTACCCGCAAATGCTTGCTGGAAAGCTGATGGAATATACGTGTAACTCTGAGGTAAAAAAGGATAACTCATCATGTTGGGAAAATGTCCCAATGGAAGCGTAGGTTGGGAAAAAGGGTGCATGGCTAGATGATGCGGAAGAGCAGGTCCAGTGGCAATGCTGGCACCAGGCAGGGTCTGTGGAGTAGGCTGTGGTGCAGAAATGCTAGCATTTCTCAGAGCCTGCAAATGTACAAGAAGTTATCAGGAAAGGACCAATTAAATCTTACCATTTACAGAATTTTTTTAGTTAGGTTTCCAAAGTTGCCTTCAGCCTTTTCTTTTCCCCTTTCACCACCCCCACCCCAACTTTCTTTTTGTTTTGGTTGTTGGGTGTTTTTGCTCCTTTTTCTGATACTGACACATAACAAAAACATGTGACAATAGTAAATGTTCATATTGTAGAACTAGATGAATAAATAAGGACAACAAAAGTGATGACCAAGAAATAGTCAAAGGTCTTTGTCCAAATTTTGGGAAGGACAATGCATAAGAAACTAGAGGTTGAGGATGATTCCATGTCACCATAGAGCATGTGCTTTTACAACCAAAACTCTATCTAGTCAAATATATAAGCAAGGCAGAGAATATGAATGACACTATAACCAGGTGAAGTTTCAGTCAAAATGATACTAAATATAGCTCAATATTAGAGGATATGAAATTTCATCTTAGTCAGTAAAATCTTGAAATAACACTACTATAAGTTATTCAGCCCAAGTTATTCCCAGAAACAGAGTGAGTCATTTGGAAAGAGTAGGTTTCCCAATATTGATTTTCTCTCAAAGAAGTTGGAGAGATCAACTCAGGCACCAATTCACCAAAATGCCGAATAAAATAACAAAAAGTTAACTTTATATTGTGTGTATAGGACATTTATTTTATATTTATATCTTCATCCCCAACTCCTAGCTGTCTATTATTTCCCTCTCTTTAAGCAAACCAAAATCAAATGTGAACATTAACTTCTCCCAACTTTCCTCCCTCTTTTTTCCCCTCAATTTAACTCATCATTATACACTCATGCACCGTGCAGAGGCCATTCTATAGCAGTTCTTTTAGAGGAAACAGTGAAAAGGAATATTAATTATTTTCCTTTTTGGTTACTTGAATAAAAAATGATCATCATTCAATTATAAATGCAAAAAGTGTAAAAAATATAAAGAAATTGATAAGATAGAGCAAAGGGCACCTCTGGCATGGAAATGGTTGGAACACTAATGGAAGAGGCTGCGTGGCTGTATTTTGTTGGCATTGACTGAGTCATAGGGAAGGGTGAGTATGGAAGATCAGGCTCCCTTGCAGTCTGAACAGTTGATGTCAGCAAAGTGCTTGGTAATGAATTTGTATATGCTTGCTGTAATGAAAACCATTATAGTGAGAAGAGACATTCAAGAAAACTAACACTGTATTTCAAAGAAAATAGTATGTCAATCAATAATTACATGCAGTAAAATAGGGTTTTTCTTGAAAATGAAACCTAGATCAACAAGATGCCACTATCGACCAGACATTTCTATATAAAAGAAATTTTCTAATCCAACTCTAAAACAAATCATTGAATCATTAGTTTGGAAAAATAAAGTTTATGCATTCAAAATAAAATAGTATATTTGAGCCACATTACCATTACACTTGAGAAAGGAGTGAGATTTTGCATTTGAGAGTTTGTCTGCGGATGAGTGAATGAAGGATTTAACTGTTGAGAATTTTCATAGCTATAACCAGACGCAGATGAAGGAAATGTATATTGGTTCTCTTGTGCAACTTCAGAAGCATCCTGTTTCAAAACTTCTGGTCGAGAATCTTCAGGAGCCTCATAATTCCCAGAGCTGACATTACTTCTATTTATTATATTTCCCTCTGAGTTATTTATGAGATGTTCGTCCCCATAATACTCTGTATTTCTGCAAACAAAAAGTTTTACCACAATTGCAAGGAAAAGATAAGTAAAGCAAGGCAAATTAAAATTTTAAGAGAATACCTATTGTCTGAGTGCCCAATAGATGAGGCATCTGCTGCTTCAGGAGCCTCGTCCAAATTATTCTTCAAGGGCCTTGATGCAAATGACCCAGAAAAGGCAGAACCAATGCCAGGTCCAAAACTTCCAAAACGCAAATGTGAACAGTCCAGGGTGTGGACTTGCAGGTGATTGGGAATTATTACAGAAGGATTATCCTCTTCAGGTTCTGGCTCCTGATCATCATTATGTAAATTAAGTTGCTGCAAATTCACAGCAACTGATGAAGAGCCATCATCAGCTGAAAAAAGTAAACAAGACAGAAAAAGCGTTTAAGTCCACAAGAAACTTCCTAGCAGATCCAATGAGTAAAGGATACATTAAATGATTAAAAACTAACTCCATATCAAGGTAAGAACTATATTGTAGAGATGGGAAAAACTAAGTCCATGTTGTTTAGCGAATTACAGCATAAAAGGTGCAGCCATAATTTTTTTTTTAAAAAAAAAAAAAACCTCGCCAATGAAGGTGCAAGCATTCCATAAGCCTCCCATAGCCAACCCCCCCCCCCCTCCAAATTGTTTTCCTCCCTTCCAAATTTATATTGTGCTCAGGCTCACAAGCCCATCAGTAGAAAGAGAGGTGGAAATGTAGAATTATTAGAAGCTAGGAACATATGATATTTTCTTTTTTTGGGGGTGTGCGCGTGTGTGTGTGTGTTGGGGGGGGAGGGGGACGCAACATAGATTATTCAACAGCCCTAAAACATAAACATCCACATTGCAAGACAATCAGAAATGGGTTGTCAAAGAAAATTGCAAAATTGCAATCTGTGTATGCCTTAATCATTAATGCACCCTTCTTCATGAGTGATACATTCATTTAAAGCATTGCACTAACCTTCATCATTAATTGCAAAAAATTGAGTGATTTAAAGCACTACACTAACCTTCATCGCGCTCAAAAACATGCCCTTGAGGTGGATAGGAATTCATATCCTTATATAAGTTATTATCATAAAGAGATGAACCTCCAGAGTCATCCTCTTGTATATTTCTACTTGAAATAGAAGGAGACCTAACATGGTTACCATTGAGAGTTTCAACAGGACCATCATCCACTGCCTGAGCTTCCTCTAACTGTGATTTTATGTGTTGATTAGTTCTATCCAAAGGCAAGTTAGAAGCATTCGCATACTGTCCAGATTCTGCAGATGTCTCTAGGACAGAGGTTGCACTGGCAGCAGGTAGGTTCTCAATGGGGGGCCATTCATCACTTGGAGAAACATGCTGGTTTGTGTTGACATCAGGCTCATAAGTAACTTCTGACACCTTGGAAGCATAATCCTGTGGAGAATGTGAATTGGTATTTAATGTTGCCAAAGGAGGTATCACAAGATGGTGATTATTAGCTCTTTGATGAGATGGGCTTGGTATGATGGAAGCCTTGTTTTGTGGCCTGCCCATCTTCACAATATCAGCCATTGATACTTGACCTGGAACCCCCAACCAAGCAGAATTGTATCCAGAAGGCTGTGACGATGAAGAAATCCCATCACCTAATCCTACCGAGGACATTTTATGTTCTGTGACCGTGACTTCACTGCAAAACCAGCAAGATTCACATGAGGGAAATGTATTTTCATATCATTAATAGTGTACATATCACAATTACAATGTTTATGAAACAAACAAATAGAATACCATCCCAAGATAGAGATGACGAAATAAACTCAGCCAGCTAAATAGTTCTAAAACTTCTTTCCCATGAAACACAATACATGTTTATTAAAAGAAAGAAGTTGTAAAAATGTTTGGATGCCTCTTGTCCAAACTCCATTTACCAAGGTTTGCCGAGCATTTGCAACTATAAGGGTCCATTCTTCCTTGCCAAACTATCCAATCTTGGATAATGTCAATTCAAGCACAAATCAATGAGGATTAATGGTGGAAGTAAATTAATTTCATTAAGAATGATATGGTATCAACAGATATCATTATTCTAATAGAATCCAATCACATGCAGGCAAATGCAAAAACAAATCTAGCAACACGACCCACTTCTGGTCATTATAGCTCAAAATTAATAGCTGCTTTTCAGCTCCTTAACTGGACTAGACAGAGAGGAACTATCACTTTTGAGATTTTAACAGGAATTACCCGTGGGATGGAGGTTGCCAGTTTGTGTTATTTCCTTGCATACCAGATACAGTAGATGAAGAGCCTGCATAAGCATGAGTTCCATTTTCTCTCTTTTGTGCAGGTTTACCATGTGAAGTGCCAGACTCTAACCAGAAAATGAGTACTCAATGGATGAGAAATCATCTAAAAGAGTTCCAAAGCATTTTTTTAACTGAGTAAAAGCTGACTCTTTTCCAAAGTTACATTAAAGCATGTTTATAGTTATACCATTAGAACCGTAATGGGATGAGCCACCACGCCCAATATATCGGTCTGAGCCACTCCGACCACCACGACTCCCAAAGTTATTGGCACCACGAGACCTGGAATCAACTGTATCCTTGCTCTGGTACAAAAAGAAAGAAACAAGTCAAAAGAGATAACAAAAAGAAAAATACCATCACAAATGATTAGAAAATATTTTAATAAGCTATCAAACAGAAAGCTCATCATCAGTGAACAATGAATTGGACTAAACACTCATTTGTAATGCTCAAAGTAACTGACAATCTGACACGATTTATGACCAATACGACCTCAGTTATGCCCTTTATTACTTAAATGATGTAACAATAAGAGGAAAAGAAAGAGCTATGGTTATCAATATGCAAACCCAACATTCACAAAATGGCAACCATTTGGCCTAATTTCCACTAGCACGCACCTCTTTTTTCTTGTCTCGTTTGCTCCTCACCTCATGAAAAGGATCTACAAATTTCACAAACATCTTTTTAGAAACGAAACATAGTACCATTTCAAGTGCCGAAACTTCAGCTGCCCTAATGTTATGAAATTAAGCAAAATATATTTTCAGTACCAAAGGCATCATCTTCACCAAAAACACAAGTCTTTTCGCTTCTCCTTTTGAGTTTAACGTAGAAAACAATCAGAGCATGGAACATACACAAACTTATACCGACTTATGCAGCAAATGGTTAAATTTTACTACAACAATGTTATTGCTGATATACTAAAACTATAGCACTTCGAGTAAAGAAATATTTGTTGGAAATTGTTAAATTAAAACAGAAACCTATCCGATAATAAAAATTTTATCTTTACCTTACTAAAACAACCAAAACCCCGAAACCCAACAGTTACCCTTTTGCATTAAAACGCCTTGTTCTTAACCAAAAACCCAGCAAATAAACCCATTAAACTGGGGAAAAGAGGAGTGTTCAGAAATAAAATAGAAAGACAGGCCGGGAAACCTTGAGAAAGGAGGCGATTGACAGTCTCGTTAGGGTCCATGTTACACTCTTTAAGCATAGCATAGATCTCGGGCTCAGGGCAGTTCACAATCTCCTTCAAGCTCTGGACAATCTTCCGAGACCCGGTCGGAATCCCTGAAATTCCACTATTAACCTTCCCTATCCCATTATTCGCACCTCCTCCTTTCCCGCTCATCCTCTCTGCGACTTCGCTCTCTGTCAGATCTGAGAAGGAACGATGTAGTTTAAGATTTCCGCTTTTGTCTTCTTCCCTAGGCGTCTTTCGCTTCGCTCGGCGAAATTGAAAAGGCAGCGGCAAGTGGGAAAAGAAGAGTTACACCTTCAAACAAAGCTTTAAAAAGGGCGAACGAAAACCCTCTGGGGGCCTGTGGCCGCGTGTGTCTCAACATTTTTTTTATTATTTATTAATTATTTGATAATATAAAATTCGACAAATGATAAAATACGAATGGAATATAAAAATAAAATATTACATGATTTAAAATTTTAATAATAATAATAAAATTAAAAATATATATTTTATATTTTTATATTAATATTAATTATAATATATAATATTTATATGAAATATAATATAAATATATAAATTTTAATATTTTATATAATATAAATTTATGAATCATCAAATTTAATATTTTTATTTATATTTATGTTTTTAATATTATACAAAATGAAACAAAATAGTTGGTACAACTTTAATAAAATTTTCAAAATAGTTAATTTAAGAAAATACAAGCACTATATCGTATTTATCTCGCAAAATAATGAGGGGTAAAATCAAACAGTAAGTGGTGGAAACGCGCTATTAAAGCGATTCCAGTATTACATCAGTTGGTAAGAAAATGATTGAAGGATTTGTGCTTATCCAATACATGAATATTAAATTAAAATATAAAAATTAATGGCCCATTGTACGTGTACGTGTCATCGCTTGGAATAACCCACGTAAATTAGGGAGTCTCAGTTGCTGAAGTGGATGTCCTAACTAGCTTATCCCTCTCTATCTGTTGGCTAGCCAAGTTCATGGGCTGGCCCAGTCATATCACTGTTGGGATTCTCCCGTTCCTTGCCCCAATTTTGTACTAACCCAAATCTCATGGATGATATTCTCTTCTCAGCCCGTTTCAGTATTTTTTTTTTTTCACAAATACCTAAAATTACTATAAGATTAATTTTATTTTGAAATTACAATTATAATCAAATATTTTATAAAATAAATTTTAACAACATTTATATAAAAAACATTTAATTGATAATTAAAAGGTTTTATTCTTTTATAATAAAAAATAATAATTCATTCAAAATAAATAAAGATTAAGTAAAGATGGTAACGAATTAAATTCGGATATATTTTTATTTGTTTCGAATTTAATTTAATTTTATAAATTTAATATCTAAACTTAATATAAAAATTTTAATTTTATATTTGAACTCTATCAAAATTATATATATTTAAACTGGCAATCAACCCTATTCAATCCGATTTCAAATTTTTATTTAATATTATTTTTAATGTAAAATTTATTTTTTAAAAAATAAATATCAAATTAAATATATAAAAAACTAAATTTAAATAAATAAATAAAATAATATATATATACCGAATTAGGTTGTAATGGATTTCTATCAAATTCGATTCAATATATTTTTTAAAAAATATTTATTTTAATCTGATATGAACTTCGATTAAAAAAAAAATTTAATCTTATAAAGTCAAATTGAATCAAAGCCTGAATTGAATGTCAATTTTAGATTAACTCTCATCTCATTGTTGGCTAAACATTAACTTGATAATAATTTTAGCTTGGAGTTAAGTAAAAAATAGATTTGATGGTAATGGAAGAATTTTTTATTTTATAAGTAGAGGAAAATATTATACATGTGAATTATGGTTTGGCTCTTGAGCAGCGCTTTTATAATTATTTTGGAAAGAGATTGCAAATACCTCTGGATCATATTATAAAAAAATACCGTGCATGTCATATAGAGACAAATTATATATAGTAAATTACAGATTTTTGGCTAAATAATAAAACCAAACAAATTTATGAAAGAGGTCAAAATGGGATTGACACACGTGTAATAGTTAATCAGAGATTACGAGTAAGATTCGATTTCAACTGAAATGGATTTGTACGTGTAACACTCAATAATAGGAGATTACGGGTTCGATTTCAACTAAAATGGATTTTCAGTTTTTTTTTTTTTTTTCACCCGTTAAATTCGCACGAGCGTGCGTGCGTGTAGCTAACCGCCTATAAATAGTAACGGTAACCCCATCTGCTCAACCAAAAGAAAGAAGATGAGAATCTTACTCTGCAACTGCAACTCTCCACCTTCACTTACTCCACTCTCTCCAACGCCACCACAGAAGCCTCCACCATCGTTTCTCCCAATTGCCGCCGTTTGGGCCAAGAAAACCCTAATTACTGCTCTGACCGGAGCTCTCTCCTTAACTCTCTTAGTCTCTTCCCCGTCTCCTTCCCTTTCTCTAGATTCGCCGTCTTTTCAACCGCCTCGACCACCTCAATTTGAAAATTCGCGACCCGATCGTTGCACCAAAGAAGAAGAACAACAAGAACAAGAAGAAGATAAGGTCGAGCTTAAACCTGAATTCGTCACCAATGAAGAAATCGTACAAGAAGCTTGGCAGATCGTTAATGACAGCTTTCTTGACACCGGTCGCCATCGCTGGTCTCCTAAATCCTGGCAGGTAGCTTTTTACTTTCTATCTTTTTTTTTTTGGCTAGTTTTTGTTTTTTTTTAATGGTTTGCTCTTCGCAGCTAAAGAGAGAGGATATTTTGGGGACGTCAATTCAAACGAGGTCTAAGGCTCACAAGTTAATCAAACGAATGCTGGCGAGTTTAGGCGATCCTTACACGCGATTCCTCTCACCAGACGAGGTAATTTTTCACTGAATCAGATCTTGTCACCTCATAGTAATTCTTTATAATAGTTTTTATTATACGCTGGAACTTCAAAGTGCATCAAATATAAAGATTTGTGTTAATTTACTTACGGATTCTTCAGTTTCTTTGTTACATGGCAATTGGCATTTTGTCACTTTTTGTCACTATTGAAAGTTCTCGAAGATGGCGAGGTATGACATGACTGGTATTGGACTAAACATTAGGGAAGTTTCAGACGACATTGGAGGTGTAAAGCTGAAGGTACAAGGACTCATATTGGATGGCCCTGCTCATACTGCAGGAGTAAGACAGGTAGAGTAGACCTGTTATATGTCTATTGGTGCTAAGAGTTTGTTTTATTTTCTCGTTATTTATCTTCCAAAAAAAATGGTTTCTGATATGTTGCTTACCTAGATTTGAGGTTCATCAGAGCATTGTCTTCTATGACCATATATCTGCATGGCCAAGGCACAGTTATACGTGGCTAAATTGTTTTATTGAATCAAAATTGGAGGAATGGTATGCACTGAAAGAGTAAGTATCCAAGAAAAAGAGGGTGAGAAAGATTGCAGAAGGACAAGAATACTATGGAGAGTGGGAAGTAGAGGTCTTCCTTCCTCATTTATTTAATAGGATAAATAATGCTCTTGTATGCAGTGCAAATTGGAGGATTCTATATGCAAAGGTTGATTTGCTGTCTCTCTGTACATATGTTTCCTTATATTAGCAATTTCTTTTGATAGGGGGATGAAATTTTAGCTGTTAATGGGGAGGATGTCAGGGGGAAATCAGCCTTTGAAGTATCATCTTTGTTACAAGGTCCTAATGAAACCTTTGTAACCATTAAGGTTGTGCTCTAAATTAGCCCTCTGAATATAGCATTTCATTGTTAACCTACCTTTTCACATGTTCCTTTGTCACCCATTGATCCACTCTCAATTTTAGGTCAGGCATGGCAATTGTGGACCTACTGAATCTCTAGAAGTCAAAAGACAACTTGTTGCCCGAACACCTGTCTTCTATCGGTTGGAACAAGTTAGTGAAGGCCCCACTTCTGTTGGGTATATGAGGCTAAAAGAGTTCAATGCCTTGGCTAGAAAAGATTTGGTCATTGGTAAGTCTTTATTTATTTTAGTGGATTCACATGATTGTTATTTCTGATAAACATGTTGGTAATGTATAACTTAAAATTTTATTTTTATATCTTAAGTCTTCTTGAAAATTAGTGCAAGCTATGACTGTTCATTCACTCTCTCTCTCTCTGCCTCACACACACACACACACACACACATTCTGCTTCCAGAATACAGGCTAGATCAATGGCACAAAATTGATGGGTTATCTTTGTTATATATAGGAAATTGATTGATTTGAGCACAGCCAAGGGAATGCTCGCTGTTATGACATATTGACAATCAATGGGTGCTTCTTCTGTTTTTTAACAAATTTCTTGAGGCATAAGCTACCAAAGCATATAAAAATAGATTTCTTTCTATGTTCATATTTGTCTTATATTTGATAATTTAAGAGTTCTATTCCTCCTCTTATTGATGTCTTTTTGGCTTAGCTTGAAACTATGATGCTAGTGCTAGTGCAACTAACTATGTTCATGGTTGGTTTCTCCTACTCTTATTTACATACTCTGTTAGATTAATTGAAACAATCTTTACTGCAGCAATGAAGCAACTTCAAGATATGGGTGCTTCATATTTTATTCTGGATCTTAGAGACAATCTTGGAGGACTAGTACAGGTTTGTTTGCTTTTGCCTTCCCAGTTAGTTTTTACCTTTTTGTCTGACATCTAGGTTTGGTGATAATCATCTCTGTGTTTTTTGCTCATTTCAGGCTGGAATTGAAATTGCCAAGCTCTTTCTGAATGAAGGGGAGACAGTATGTCATTTCATTACAGATTTAAACTTTCAAGAAGGACATTTGGTCGTTCTTATGAGATTTTTAGCTATTTTCTTCATCCCTCTCTGTTGTCCTTGTGAAAGTAGCCTGCTTATGATGCTATTACTAAAAGAAAATTTTTCTTGATGCATATGTTTGAGTACTAATTATGTGATCTTGGTGTTTTCTTTTGCTGATAACAAATGAGCAGATCATTTACACAGTTGGGAGAGATCCACAGTACCTGAAGAATGTTGTTGCTGATACTGCCCCATTGGTTACAATGCCTGTAGTTGTATGCACTTTTGCATCATCTTGACATCGGTGCTTTAGTTTGTTTTTGTGAACATAGAAATGTATGTCTTTCACATTTGATTCTAGAGAAGTCTATTCTTTCAGTGGTCAGTGCCAATTTTGCTCAAGCAACTGTCCAGAAAAAAATGTCTAAGGAACTAAGAATCGGATGGGTGACAATCTTCTGGTAGATTTAAATTTCCAGGGTTTCTCTAAACAGGAAAAAAAAAGAAAAGAATGTCCAGGGACTTCGCTAAAACAAATAACCTTATAAGTATGACTTCACACATGGTGTTTTCTGCAACATAGACACAAGCCTGAAAAAATTGTTTCACGCTTTAATTTGTTGTTGGGATGGAAATTAGTTGGCTAATAATCAGCTTCTGTGCAGGTTTTGGTGAATAACAAAACTGCTAGTGCAAGTGAAATTGTGAGAAGACCTGTTGGCCCTTTATCTATGTTTGCTTTAGTCTTTTCACCATCGCATGTATTCTAAACTGTCATTGGCACTTCAGGTTGCTTCTGCACTTCATGATAACTGCAGAGCCATTCTTGTCGGGGAGAGGACTTTTGGCAAGGTTTGAAGTTTAGCTAATTTTCTGCAACTCAAGCTCTCCCTCCGTAGTTCTCATTTTTTTCTTTATCTTTTGTCTATTGAACTAACGGTAATAGATATCTGCATTGATTATATATATTTTATCAAAAGATGTCTTCTATAATCTGATATTACACCCTTTTTGCCTGTTATCATTTTTTTCTTTATCTTTTGTCTATTGAACTAACGGTAATAGATATCTGCATTGATTATATATATTTTATCAAAAGATGTCTTCTATAATCTGATATTACACCCTTTTTGCCTGTTACAGGGTCTGATTCAATCTGTCTTTGAACTTCGTGATGGATCTGGGGTGGTTGTCACTGTAGGAAAGTATGTGACACCAAATCACTTGGACATAAATGGCAATGGAATAGAACCTGATTATAGAAACTTCCCAGGTAATAACTTCTTTTACCATTCGAGTGGAGGGGAATTTCACAAATTACAGAAAAAAGCTGTCATGAAAGAAATCCAAAAACTGTGTTTCTTTTGTTGATTGTGTCGTAACTTTAAGATGGTATCTATGCCCCTAAGCTTCTTGATTTGATTCCTAAAGAAATCTACTTTACTGTTCCAAACTTGTAAAATATGGATTTCAAAACTCCAAATGCTACCTAAAGGCCACCTTAGATTTCCTACAATGAATTGAAGTGTGCACCATTTGATATCTGATTAACCCTCCATATGCAGCTTGGAGCGATGTCACGCAGCATCTGTTGCGATGCAATTCACTTCGACAAGGCTAGAAACAGGTTTTCATGGTCTTTTTGTTCTTTTTCAACTTTTTCCTTCCTGGTTATATATTATCAATATGGTGTACATACTCGGTATGGAAATCTGTAGTTTATATCCCGAAACTTTTTGCAGTTCAAGTGGAGGAACCATTTGATTTGCTTGCCAAATAGTTGCACTTGACGGAGCTGACATGCAATCGGTTGACTTAAGAGCATTTGCTTGCAAAAAGGCTTAGGCATATATCCGGCATATCAGAGTCGGTATAGATTTGCTGAATGTGATCCCACTTGGTATAACACCAGCCGAAGGACAATGTTAATGTACTGCCAGAAGAAGGTTATACAATGGGGCAACTGTGGCAATTGCCCCAGCAGAAATCCTTAAAAAAATGCAGTACTATGTAATTATTTTTTTTAGAATATGTCCAAACCTATTAATAAATTTTATTGAAACCCAAAACCCATAAAAAATCTATTTGTTTGACAAAAAGTATACAATTTTTAAAATTTTACAAACACAGTTAATAAATGATATATACCTTTTGTATAATTAAAAATAGATACATGGTAAATTTTTTAACTTTGCTTATAGAATTAAAAAATTCTATTGTCAATTTGTCAAAAACGAAATTATGGTATTCTGATTAGCCTAGTGAAAAACAAAGACAGTCTAATGATAGTAAATGAGTTAACCTTAGGCCGAAGAAAGGAGCTAAGCTTGTTTAAGGAGGTAGTTCTTCCCTTCACTTTCAGGCAAACTGTCTGTAATGAAAGATGAAGCTAGATCTTACTATCCATTCTATGATAGTAATTAAGGCAGGCAGCAAAATCACGGACGTTATTCTTTTACTAAATAAGTAATCATTATTTTTTTTTTCTTTAGACAAATTGAATCAATACCCTTAAACAGAGAATTGCAACCTCATGTAGGGGTAGCAATTTTGTATCATTAGTACTTGCATCAATCTAACCTTTAACTTTTTGATTCAGTCCCATATACAGTATAAAAGAGAGGGAAAAAAATGCCACATCAGTGCCATTATCAATTAACAAATATATCATTGCAGAAACACCAGATTTAAATTCCCAACATATCACCCTTTTGCCTTTTATCATCCCTCTCCATTCATACACTTTTTCCCTCTTTTTGCACCTTCCCTTGCTTGCTAATCCCAACAACCAATTGCCTCCTTTCTCAAGTTTCCTTATATTCTCCTTTCTCTGTTTCCATCACTCTTCAGTCCAAGGAAGCTTTGATTCTTCAAGTTTTATTTATACAACAAATGTAAGGATGATGAGAATAGACTCTTCTTTGTCCTTCTCTTTGTTTTATTATAAATACATATTAGCTTCTATAGTATTGTTCTTATTAAATAAGATTTTCAAGACCTACATTATACAAGCAGATTCAAGACATGGGTTCTAGACTCCAGTTTCTCACAATCTTTCTCTTCCATCTTTTCCTATGTTCAGGTGATTGATTGATATGCCTTGAAGATTTTTGTTTTCTTCTTGCATATATTTTCTTGTTCATATTTGTACATTTATGTGGGAAACTAGATTTTGTTAATCTTGTTAGGATTTTCCTCTTAACTGATAAGAAGTTATTCAACTTCATGTCATTGGTAGGTAATGGAATGGCAGTAAAGTAAATATTTTGTTATAATGTCTAAAACAATAATTTAATTCATTTCAATCTTGATATCAAGAGGAATTAATACTGGAAACAATTGTCATATGAATGAGTGACTGTTTCTAGAGAAAGTTTCTGTCAAAGCAATGAACAAAAGTAGAAATATATTGCAAACAAAACCAAGTGCAATCTTTGTGTAATCATGGAATGAATTCCTTAGCAATTCTGCCTCCATATCTGATTGAGTTCTCCGTTTGTTATTTGTGCAATTCATTTCACTAACGAGACAATTAAAAACTGAGGTTTTTTCCCTTTCTTTTTTTTTTTTAATCTTTTTTCACTTTTAACCTTTGCGACTCTAAAGTTACTGGTTTCAAACTTTATCTCAATTGCACATCAAAATATCTGAAGCTTTGCAATCCAACTGGTATTTTTCTTGTCTAGAAAGGGTTCTTGTATTCTTGGTTTCTCCTTCACAAGATTCTCTTTTGGAGTCCTGAAGGTGTTTGCTCTTCCTCCTTTTTTTTTGTTTAAAATTTTTTGATACTTGTGGTTGTTGAGATTGATCTCTGATCATTGAAACTAGAAGTGCAGTAATTTATCACCAGACCATGGTTGTTGGCCTTCCTTTGTTTTTTTTTTTCAACAGGTGCTCTCCTTGTCTCCCAATCTTGTTTTGCACTTTTAGCATGAGCTTTAAGATCTAACATCTGACAACTGTTTCAACCTTCAACTGTCTATCCATTTAAATAATGCAAATTCTTCCTATTTCTTCATGAAAAAGAAAAGAAAAAGAACTTAACTTGCTTTTAATCTCTTCAGGCTCAAGTGTTTCACAGAAACCTCCTCTGGAAGAAATCAATCAAAAGAGAAAACAAAACAACCAAGAATTCAGGATACTCCTTGCACCTTCAATATCCACTACAGTACTAGATAATATTCCCATTGTCAACCCCACAACTCCAGGCACGACAACTCCAAACCCAACATCCCCATCAACAGAGCCAATAACCAACCCTCCTACCCCGACTACCACTCCGACAATCCCAACCACGACTCCAACCACGACTCCAACTGTCCCAACCACGACTCCAACTGTCCCAACCACTACTCCTTCAACATCAGGAGGTACCTGGTGTATTGCAAAACAAGATGCGTCACCAACTGCTCTACAAGTAGCTCTAGACTATGCTTGCGGATATGGAGGTGCAGACTGCTCAGCAATTCAACCTGGTGGAAGTTGTTATGACCCCAGCACTCTTCAGGGCCATGCTTCTTATGCTTTCAACGATTACTACCAGAAGCACCCTGCTCCAACCAGCTGTGTTTTTGGAGGAACAGCTCAGTTTACTAATACTGACCCAAGTAAGATTTCGTAAGAAAAAGCAAAAATTAAGTTCTTTTTTAAAACTGTAGTACAATTCTAATTTTTCAACTAAAATTCGGCTCTCTATATTGGTCCAGGTAATGGAAACTGTCACTATGCAGCATCCTCGCCTACAAGGTAATATCTTACAACCACCTCTCATGCAATTTTCATTTTCAAGACAGAGAGAACAGAAGAGCTTATTTTTCTTTTAACATGTAAATGCAGTGTGACTCCACCGGCCAGCATAACACCACCAGCCACCATACCCCCACCCACTACCACGACCATGACTCCACCCTTTACCATGACCCCACCTACTTTTACGGGACCAGGTGGGGAGACAGTTTACGGTTCAGCAGAACCAACAGGACTCCCCAGCTCAGCCACCTCTGTGTCAATCAGATTTTGGCTGATCTTTGTCACAATAGGTCTTGTGTCGTCACTTGTCATTGCAAACAAACTCTAGGCAGATGGAAGCCACTTTAAGTTACGAGATTGCAATCCCTTTGCTTGCTTGCAGAGTTCAGAAACTCACAGCAAGCTTGAGAATCAAAAAATGAGATATTTATCTCAGAGGCCTTATTCTCTATTGTTATACTTCTTGATCTATGTAAACATAAAAGCTGAGTAAGAAGCCTGGGAAAAAAAATGAAGAAGAGCATATAATCTTTTAGGTTCTTGTACCCATAGATGAGCTATAATAGCTACTTTCTCAGAATTAATGTTAGCAAAATAAATTATTAGTGATACCCTCTGGCTCTAGGAATGCTTTTTTCAGTAATGGAAACCATCACAGGCTTAGCTAGTGCATTAATAGATTTATTAGCTAGCATAGCAGTATTTTTCTCAAATATATCCATACAAAATTTTATAATTTCATTTCAATGCCAATATGCATAATAAAATAGAAGTGCCATAGTGTAGATAGTCTTTAAGCCAGTAGAAACTCAGATTCAGAGATTGCCTACTGAGCTAGTTGCTATTACCAGTCATATGATTATACATTGATGTCTAGTTTACTTATATTGAAAAAGTGAAATGTTTTTATCAAAAGAGAAGTATCCAGGGACAGGAATCAGCTTTGGCAATGTCAATGGCATATATGATTAAGAATAGTGAAACAAAAAGAGCCATTAAAGTGTCAAGGACTATAATCATAATCTTTCCACTGCAAACAGAACTTGTATTATTTCAGGAGCACTTCCGATCTTCCTCTGACTATGACACTACAGAGTCAAGCAAAAAGGAACATATACATTCTATACTTTTCTTTTTATTTTCTCAGCATAAATTGTAATCATCATCATATTAACACAAGAACAAAGGTCTGCAAATTAATATTATTCTTACAGTACTCTCTCCTTCTACACGTGTTCAATAGCTTGAAAGAAATATTGTTCATTAAATACAAATCAAAAGCAGGCAGGAGACAGCAGTCATACAAACAATGGCTATGGTGGCAACAATTGAACCTTGGTCAAATGCCTTCTGCAAGCTGCCTGCACCTGAGAAATGCTGGAAAGCCAAATACGCTGCGATCACTAAGGATATGATAGCACCTTGTTGAGATCCCCTTCCAATGGAAAAAGAAAAATACAATAAAAATACATAAACCCCAACAAAAACAAGTATAAAAGAAAGAATAACAGCATCAGTTTGCCTAAAAGTAATACATTGACCAACCTTAGGTTCATTACTTGGTAAGGGGCCACTATCACCAAGAGTAGTGTTACCAATGGCAACTCAAGTTCACCTAGAAACAGAAAAGGATCACTTTCTCCTCCAAGTAATTAGCAAACAAAATAAACTGTCACAATTTCATGATTAAAAGAATACATGGTTCATGCTTCCTGAATAATTCTGAAAAATATATAAAATTATGTGCAAAATCAAATCCAGTCAATATATTTAGTAACATAAAATAAAATTTACCGGGAATGTAGAAGAACAGACGGACAAGCAGTGCCAAGAATGCTGACCAAAGACCATATTCAGCCCTGCAAATTTCAAGACCATCAATCACCAAGAAAATGTAAAATAAAGGAAAACAATCAATAGAATTACAAAGGGCAAGAACAGTTTTGCTTACTTCATCCATGAAATGATGCTTGATGGAGCTTGGATTGCGAACAATGGAACAAGAAATTGTTTTTGAATTACTGTTCCTTTTGCAAGCAATAAAACCCTGTTTGAAATCACTTCAAGAAATGAATTTTTTTTTTGCTTTTTTTCAAAATGAAAGCAAAAGGAAATGAGAAGACTTACGCAGAAGAGGCGGTGGAGATCCACTGGAGATTGCGAGGTGAGAGAGGAGCAGCGTAGCAAACCGCACCCGATCCTCTACTCTTCTTCTTTATTTCCTTATGCTTTATCGAAAACCTACAATTGCCAAGCCCAAATTTAGTGAAAAGAAAAGAACTCAAAATTTCCTTCTTTTTCTGAATTTGATCGAATCCAGATTAAAATTACCTGAGAGGATTGAAATTGATCGAGCTAGAGGAGTGAGCGAGAGTGGAGAGCTTGATTGCAGCTTGAAACGGGGCGTTTCGAAGAGGAAAAAACGGTGCGTTTTTATTGAGAATGTAAAGAGATTGTGCTACTGCCGCCGGTGGAGAGATCGACATTGTCACCATCTTTATTCTCAGTGAGAAGAAAACCGTATCTATGGCGAAGAAATAAATATCTTTTGATTGTTCGACGGAAACTGATACTTGTCAATGTCAACAGTTGAATTTTTGCCTACGTGGAGCGGTGCTTGTCGTTGAACCTTAACCGTTGCTTAATCATAAAAGTGCAGTTGGTTTAAGCGAATGACGTGCCGCCACGTGAAGGGTTCGCGGTTCTATGTTGAATCCGGACTGGACATTCCTTATCCGCAGCTCTTGGATCTTTGACCCCATCCAACTTTGAATTCCCCGAGGGCCAATCTTTCATTTATTTTTTTTTTCTTTTCCAAACATCACCATTTTAATTGAAGAAATTTTACTACACCAGCAATTTGGAGTGAGGAAAAAGTTGATATCAAAAATCGATTCGAAATTATGGTATTTAATTCGGTTTAAATAAATTTTTTATTATATTTAAATTAAATTTAAATATTAAATGTATATATATATTAACTTTAAATCAAATTTAGAATCAAAAATAAAAAATAAAAAAATATTAAATCAAATTAAATTATATATTTTTATTAATTTATATATTTTTAAATTTTTATAAAATAAAATTAATTATTTTATATCTAAAATTTTTATTAAAATAATATATATAATTAAAAATTAAATAAAAAAACTATTAAACTAAACTAATTCGATTGAAATTGTATTAAAATTCATTTTGAATTTAATCAAATTTTATAATTTTATGTATTCTTCAAAAAATCGAATTAAATATGATCGAATCTAAATTATTATCAGTTCTATCAACCTTCTTTCTAATATTGGTGAATAATAAGAGGATTCGTCTTTGAGATCTGATTAAATTGCTTGTTTGCCTAGAATTTACTATTTTTAACTGTGGTTTCTTCACCCTCTTGTTAATATCATTCCATGGTGGTTCAGGACGAATTGTCCTGCGAATACTACGCATGCGTTTTAACCGTTTTGTGATGGTGATGCATCCGAAACTGTATTATCTGCAGCAGCATCCCCAAATTCCCAGCAACGATCTCTTCTCCAAGCCAATGATATCGTACCACAGCTAGATGCTGATACCATGGTATCTCCGGTTACCATTAAAACTCAATATTTCTAGGTGTCATGTTCTTTTATTCTTTTGCTGTCATCATATCTTCCATGGTTATTATAAAACCTGAAATTTGGTTAATTGATCTGTAACCTTTATAGGTCGCTTACCATTGCATGTTTCCTATAAATATTCTCATCATGTGTTAATCATCATCCAGGCTTGTTATTCCTGACTGATGCTGCTGCCACAGCTAGTGGGGCTCTCTTCTAGGTACTCAAGCCTGGATTTCGACATTTTCAAAGATTCAAGTTTAAACCTGATCAATTTGTTTGATAATGAGACCCAAAATGCAACTAAAATTAAACATACAAAGACAAACTCGATCAGAGCATTAATAAATATGAAGTGGTAGTGAAGAAATTACAAGAATTCAAATACCAAATGTAATTTGGTACAAAATAACTTAAAATATACATTTTCATAAAAAAATTAGCAGTTGAGTGAAACGTTTCCACAGTTCAAAGCATACCAAATAACTGTGCTAACCTCTAAAAGCAGAACTAAGTCACCTCCTACCCTATACATAGACAGGGATTTTGGAGACAAAATAACATGAAAATATAAATTACAATTATCTTTATCATCTCAAAATTACATCCATCACTCAATTTGTTGTTATTGTCACTTCAGAAATTCAAAGGAAAAAAAAAAAACAAATGTCAGGATCATACGTGGTCAGTCGCTATGTTAAGAAAGTTCAGAAGAGTTTAGTAGTAATGAATTCTGCATACCTATTATTTTGCCATTAGCAGATAATCTAGTATTGTTCATCATAAGACCTGCAGGTAAGGCATTCAAAATTGTAAAACTGTAAAGATTATCGAAGGATTCAACAGATGTTATGACAAGTAGTGTAGCTAACTTTTTCTCCTGAATTCTCCAACTTTGCAGGAGGCAATATGATCTTCACCCCATAATCTGCTTATAACCACTAACCCAAGCTGAAGGAGCCACCTAACCAGGAGGTAGCTCCCATTGAGAAAAATCTTGCGCCGTCGAACCCCAGATTATCTCATTGTTTCTGGCTTCGGGTCCATTCCTATCTTAAGTTTTTCTATCTAGATTCTTGCACACAACCTGGTGCAACCTGTCATTTATGGCACAGGTCTAAGTGTTGCATAAGCAGGTTGAGTAAATAACCTAATTGGATACCATATATCACTAATCCTCTCGTATCTCAAGTATCACAAAACCTAAATCTTCTCAGAAACAACATAGTTTACTCGAAGGCTCTAAGGCTATATTTCCATCTTACCTCAAATCTCTCAATCACTTCTTAAAGATGTCACTAATTCCAATACGATGCACTTTACAGTGATAATACATGGAGATACTTTGGCAGTCTAGATGTTTTACATATATTATCACATGCACAAGCATGAAATCAATGCATTAGGATCATGTATTAAACAACATAAGTATCAGCAACGTATATGTATGAATCAGTTATGAATCACCTGCCTAATCAGAAAAGACTTCTATCTTTGCAATAATGACCCACTCTTCTACCATAAAATTCAGTGATCTAAAGCTCAGGTAACGTTTCTCTAAGTAGAGAGTTTGATATTGTCCTTTTTTACTATTAAAGGTAAAGTTCATGAAAAAAAAAAAAAAAAGAAATGCAAGAGAACTTCAATCAGGCCAGCCTTTTTGTGCCTATCGCCTTACAGAAATGTGCACCTAGATGCACCAGGAATGTGCCTGATCAAATGCTCCTCACTTGAAAGGGTTCGAGGGAGGGGTGTAATCGAGCTATGTCGAATTGATACAGTGAGAAACTCGAGCTTGACTTAAAACTCACTGCTCAAAACTCGGTTCGAGCTCAATCGAATTTTAATTTTCAAGCTCCAGCTCAACTTGAAATAAAAATTAAGCTACTTGAGCTTACTTAATTAAGCTTGTTTAATAAAAAATGAACTCACTTCTCATACTCGATTTCAAGGATAAAATAATAATTTTTAAATTAAAATACTAAAATATATTAAAATTTAAAAGCTCGATTAGGCTTATGAGCTACTTAAGCCGAGCATTAGGAAGCTCGAACTCGGCTCACTTACTAAGTTGAGCTACTCGAGCTAGAGCTCAACTTGACAGTGACCAAGTTGAATTTGAGTTTTATCTAATTTGAGCTCGAATAACTTACGAGCATTGATTTTTCATTTGCACCCTAGTTTGAGGAGCTTTTCTTGTGTGGCACTAAGGTGCAGTGCCTAGGGGCACCTAAGCGCACACCTTGACAACAGTGACTTAGCGATAGGGGAGGCTTGGGATACTTGATCTACACCTAAGCCTATCTATGAGTTAGAGGAGAAAATCTTATAGAAGAAAAAGTTAAACTTGGAATTCACCATCTTCCTCGGAGTAAGGAAACATTATTACCAGCAAAGAAGATGCTTTATCACTGATTTCTCCTTTCCAACGGCAAGGAGTCACTACTACAATCGTCTTTCCATTACTTTATTTGAAGCATAGCAGTCTAGCAGTTTGAGTTCCTAACATCATCTTCTGATCCTGAAGGCATATAAATGCAGCCAAGCAGCTGACAAGTTTGATCAATAGAACTTGATGAAAGGTGACATACTATCCTCATTAACCCATCCGAAAAGACAACACTAAGAATACCTTGTGTCCGCTAAATGGAACAGTAAATACTTCTGACATGCACTAATGTACACAGAATGACTAATAAAAGCAAGTGATTTTAACTTTTTGTTCAATGTTCAAGATGTCAGCTTCAAATCATACTTGATTTTCTCAGGTCTTGTGTTAACAACTGCTAGAGCTGCAGGCTTTAACTGTATCGGGCGCTTAAACTTTTATTTAGCAAAACCAGAGCCACAATCAAGAACTGTTAAATCACAGTAACCCTTTTACACCCAACTTCACCCCAATTGTTTGATATTCTGTTTGCATAGCATTTATTTCTTTATTCTTTCATCCCTATATTAGTTCCAACTAAAAGAACAACTAATTTCAGCTACATACCATTCTATAGAGTTTCCTTACTACAAAGCATCTATGCCTCAGGCTTCATATAAGTGGTTATAATAGTGAGAGCTTATCTTTGTTGGTAGTACCTTTCATTTCAAATAAATTCTATTATGATTGCCTCAAATGCCTATAGGCTCACAAGGTTTCTTGACATATTTAGATTTTTTCAGTCAACATAACCATTCTTCCACAATATGATATGGAACCTCCAGAAATAATTATCAAAAGTTCAAGCTAAATAATTATCCAAAGTTCAAGCTTTTATCTTACAGGATTTGAAAAATACTATATTTTTGAACAAAAATAATGTAGCGACGGCAGAATCAACTAATATTGGAAAAACAAATACGGGCTATTAAGAAGGATAAAAGTTCCTAGAAGCTTCCATTTAAGAATTTTAATTTCTTAATACAAGCATAGATGGAGTCTCCATAATTTTCATAAGAAAAGGCAGAAAAGAGCAAATAATATAACGAGATAATCAGCTAAACAGCAGAAAAAGAAGCAAACAGGAATCTGGAAAACTATATTTCACAAGTAATTCATACACAATGCCTTATATGATTGGAACTTCAACTGTACAATAAAATAAAGGGACATATTCTATATCTGTGATAAAAAAAAATAGATAGAGCACTCCACATGGGTTGTTAACTAAGAGGAGAAGAAACAAGCAACAAAAAGCTGACATGACAAGAAGACAAATGATAGCATATTTTGTGGTTAATTTTGAAGAGAAAAGAGAATTGAGGTTTTAGGTAGAGGCCAAATTTCACATAAAAGCAAATAGAAGGATGAGGAACTATATTGAAAACCAGTCAGAAAAAAACACGGTGCTCTTATTCCTTGTTACCAAATTTCTTGGCAATGATAGGACGGACATCATCAGTATCAACCAGAGTCTGTAAGAAGGGAAGTAATGAAATTAGTGCACAATCAGATGTATCAGCAAACCAACTCTTAATAGGGATACCATTATTCTCTTGCAACCTGAAAACCTGAAATCAGCAAAGACAAAGCAATCAGAAGTATAAGCATGGGGCAATGACACATTCTTTTCCATTTTCTTTTTTGCTTCTAGATATTTCACCATCGTAGCATTTAAGTTGATAGTAGACAATGCATTTTGATCCTACCACTAGAGAAATAAACTATGTCCTTTTCTAGGTGATATTAAGTAGCAAGGCACAGCGAGTCCTCACAACGACCATTTACAGTTAAAATAGGTCAATTGGATAATCTGGTTGTAATTGTCTTTAGTGAAAATGATTCTCAAATGAACTTTATGCATCATTTCTAACTGCAAGAAGAAATACATTAAAATTAAAACTTAATGACAAAGAGATGCAGTCACTAAATCACCAGTTCACATCCACATAATGTTTGCCTCATTCAAAGGGGACATTAAATTTGGTAGATAAAACAATTAAATATCACAAGCAAATTAAGCTAAAAGCAATATATGTTTTCAGAAAAGGAAGGGTAAACTTTTTAGAGAAGTGGGCAGGTAAAATACCTGAGGAGAATTATCAATTATAGCAACTCTAGCTAGATCAACCCCTAAAACCGTCAAATCTTTAGTGTAACTTCCATCTGAAAAAATGCATGATTCACAATAAAACCGCCGAGATATGAACTTTCTATCTGGATCCAATATGTCCAGTAGTTGTTCTGCATAAATGCTTTGGCTTGCAGTAAAGATGACAACTTCAAACATCTCTGCAACTTTCTTCAAAAATTTCTGGAGGTGAGGCCTCTGCTTTACATACACGTTGTGTTCTTTCATGTTGAAAAAGACTGTAAAGGTGAAGTCAGCATCATCACAGTATTCTAGTGTAGAATGGACAAGAGTTTCTGCATGTATCAAAGCAATGGTGATCAAACATTTACAGTAATACTATTGTTAAATTTTTTGAAAACAACAAGTGAAATATAACAAAAAGAAGCAAAGCTCAAATAATCCTGCACAAATTATAAAACAGAAATCAGTTTCAAGGTCACAAATTTCAAAAGCCATCCCAAATGGTTCGCATATGTAAGATAATAAAAGCCATCCAACAATTTTAACAGTTTCGCATTCTATAACTTCTTAAACCCCTGAAAGCATTTAAAAATTTTCATGCAAAACTTCAACATTAACCTCACAAACAGAAGAAATACAGCATTTGTGGTGATTATGACATAGACAACGTTTGCAAGAGAACAGTGTTTTACCCTACACAGTTTATAGGAATTGAGACAATAATTTCCCAAAAGGTTCCACCAGTTCTTTTATAATCAGTTCAAGTTAGACTAAAATCCAGGTTATAGGCCTAATGGCTTTACGTGAGAATCTAAACGGTCTGTTCCACACTCCATTTAAAAGATCACTAGAATTAGTTAGTCAATTGAAGAAATATTCAGGCGCAGTACTGGTGAATCAATGATGGATGAATTCCAAAGACATAAAAAAACATACAACAGAAGAACATACAAAACATGTAAGTCTTACCATCTAAATCAAGCACAAGTGTTATGGCCTGCCTTCTCCAAGCCTCCTTTGGAACCATAACAGGCCGAAAGCTTGATACAACATCAGATAGTTCTGGTAAATTTTTAATAAACGATTGCGGATCAAAGTCAGAGTTAACATCAGTTTCCTGTATGCAGGATCTCATCTGATCAATTGCTAGACATAAACCAGTATTGTCTTGAACCATCATGGCTTCCTCATGCAAATTAACATCATTTATATCATTGGCTTTGACAGTGTCCTCAAGGAAAGGTAATATCATGTATTGCTCAGCCGCATCAAACAACATACTTGACTCAGAACACTTGAAATCAGGAAAGGAATTGGCCTCGAAGATATTATCATCAACAGCATTTCCACCGAAGGGTATGCTTGCAATTATCATGTCAGATATAAAGAAATCAGATAAATTACAAGTTTGACTACCAAATGAGCTTTTGTTATCATCACTGTCATCAGCCCCTAATGCTGGCACTTCAGGGCCATCATTACTCCCTACCACAATTAAAAAAGAGATAACTGTATCAACAAACTATCTTAACAGAACCTTGCAACTTTCATTACACAAAAAAGTAACAACCTCTCCAATATTTCAATTGCACAAAAGTTCTTCATCCAACTAGTGAAAGATTAGCATTGGATACAGGTAAAAATACACAATTATAATATGTAAACATAACCTAAACATCAAGGCGCCTGCCTAGGGGAGGAAAGATTATAGGTTCATACTTTATTCAAAGAATTTTCTTTTTTTCTTTTTCCTTACAGAATGTAATTTAAAAATCACAGAATTTTTTATCATTTAAAGTTTATGATAAATAAGCCACTCAGTCCTTAAAGGCCTTGCTTTTCTGAAGCAATGCCATCAGAGACTGAAATTCCATATTATCATAATTCTTCATGGTAGCATGAAATATCAAATGCCAAAAGTTCATAGAATTACAGATTGCCCCAAAAACATGCAACAAGATCAATAAGAATCTTTCTACTATTAAGTTCTTTGTTTTTATGTAACAGGCTATTGCCCTGATAGCCATATCTTATTCTTAAGTTTTTATAAGTAAAATGGTCTCTATATGGATCATGCAAATTGCCAAGAGATTACTTATAAGTTAATCATTATGTTTAGGCAGGTATTTCAAAGAAATGCTAAAAAAACTGTCATTCTCTAAGCCACAAATGGGGAAGAGAAAACAAATTCATACAACATATAGCATTTAACTAGCTGAAACAAAGAATCACCTGCATCATTGTCAATATTTTGTTCACTGTGGATTTGAATTGGCTCCAAAAAAGGAGAGAATATTGTCTCTAAGTTTGACGCACAGGTGTGGGAAGATTCCTGCAAATTAATAAACCATCATTTATTAGCAAATGCAAACTAAATTAGGGGCGAGTTGACTACCTGATATCTTCAAAAAGCAGAGTAAAAACACAATTTGCAACTAAAACATAAGGTCCTAAAAAATAACAAAAATTTACCATTCTCCCCACAGTTGCAGAATTAACAAAAACTGGAAGCTCTTTCTGAAGCTGAGAATCGTCTTCCTCCAAAATTGGTTGCTGAGCACTGGCTTCATAAGTTTCAAAAACTTGTGAGGCCACTTCTACATTTGATGAATCTACCAAGAACAGGCAGTAAGAACATGTAAAAGGCTACAAATATCAATGTAATTAATCTTCTTTTTTTTAACATTTTTAAGAAAAGAACCAGTTAAAAGCCCTACAAACAGAAAGCCTATCATACATGCAGACAAGTAAATAAATGAATGAGTGAATAACCAATACATTTTTATGCTTGAAAGCACAACATAGAGGCTGGACCAATGGGTTTAAGGGCAGGGAATGCATGCAATGTAATACATACAAGAAATGAGATCCTAATTTCCCATTATCAGCTACTAATTTAGCCAATAAATTAATATTTTCTTCTCCAAATGGTTCAAATGGTTGATATATGTGCTTGTTCATTTGTTTGCCCTGCTACAGTCTGCAATAATTTAATGATCATGGTATCATTTCAAACAACTGCATTTTTTTAACATTCTAAAATGTGATAAGAGCCCCATGATTCTAACTTCAGCATTGCAATTTTTAGAACTACAGTTATACTCAATAAAATAAGTAGTATTTAAGTAAAAAAAAAAAAATGCAAGTAAAGCATCTTTTCTCATGTAAAACAAATCACAGACCAGGCCCGGTAGTGTCAAGAGTCTTGTCCACACTTTAGTTGGCAAAAGCAATGTCTTGAAATTGCTAATTTTAATTCACTCAATTTACAGAGAACACACAATGTCAAGACTCAAGATATAAGCAAACAAAACAAGAATGTTGAAATCTTGATAAAAGGACACTCGAACAAGCATTTGCAATTGTAACAATTAACATTAGACAAATACCAGCCTTGTTCAATGTAGTTGCTTACCATCATAAGAATTTTGAATACATTTACTGGATTCATCTCCTTGCTGAGAAACCCTGACATGGCGGCACGGTCTTTTGCAAATCATACTAGACTTCTGACACACGTGGAGACCATTTTTTTCTCTTAACGAACCCGTGCTTGAATTGGTCTTCATTCTTAGAGATGGCATTTGATCTGAAACTGTTATACATACCACAATCTCAATTCTGGAACATCAGTGGGGAAAAAACCCCTCTAAACAATCAAATCAGCAGCAGAAGCTGTGTCACATGAATAGCCAAGTTAAGAAGCAAAGATATTCTAACAGATTGGCATAGAGAACTAACAGTACAAAGATACTGACATATAAAAGAAAGAATTTTCAAGCAACATAAGTTGTGAGCAGTTAGACAAGTATAGCAAAAGCAAAACCAAAGAAAAAAAAAATGAGAATTAAAAGTCAAAAGTATATGACCCTTTTTATAAAATTACTAAAGAATGCTAAGATAATCAATTCAGAATATCACTAAATACCACAAATCTGAAACCTAGATCTTGATTTCTGTTAGATAAATATAGGGGTCTACCGTAGTCTGCCTTGAAAGACAATTATTCATAGAAAGAAAATTTTTAGGAGAGAAAGAGAAAGGTACAAAAACTTTTCATGAAGAGACAAGGAAATAAGAACCCATATCAAAGAAAAACAAATTCTTCAAGTAAAACCACCAAAATTAAAGTCAACCCAAGTCTTTTAACCCCATAAAACACAATAATATCTCATCAACATACCTTAATTACACAGAAAAACACCAAAGAACGCAAAGAAAAACCCAAAAAACCATAACCCTTTTTTGCATATAACCAATAACAAAAAAAAAAAAGGGCTCAACTGACAGTTACACAGTTCTAACTATCATTTAAACAATCATGAATTAAAAACCCACAAAAACCCAGAACTAAAGATCAAAGAAACAGTACAAGAAAACAACAAAATCAGCTAAAAGAAACTTTACCGAGAAAGAATAAAGCTAGAAAAAGTGAAAATTCTAGAGCATGAAAATAGAAGTACCTGTGGCTGTTTAGAAGCCAAAAAATATGAAGACTTTCTTTTCTTTCTTTCTCTCTCTTGTGCTAAAGGAAGACTAATGTTTTTGTTTCTCACTCTTTAACTTCCACAAACGGTCAAGACAAAGGTTGAACTTGAAGGGGCAAATGTCGGCTTCTATTGGATGATTCGGACGGCTGTGATCAAATCTTTAAGAGGAGTTTGGACCTGTGGAATTTGCCACGTAGGAGTGGACCAGCTCAGTCTGACGCGTTGACACTTGCAATTTCGTAGAAAGAGAGGAAACTATTGGGACGAAATTGCGGAGGGAATGGAGTTTGATGTTTTTCCTAGTTGCGGGTTAACCCGTGCTCTCCACGGCATTTCTGCTGCTGTTATTACTTGTTTTTCTTTTAAGTAAATATATTTTTAAATAAAAACAAAGATATAGCCAAAAATTCATTTCTACCTATCCATATATTTTGATTATCAGCTTCCAATATTCATCATTAAATATATACGGTACATATTAAAAATGTGAAGAGAGTGGTTTCATTTGATAAATTTTTTTTGTAAAAAGTAAAAAGGAAAAAATAAAAATGAATAAAAATAAAAATACCAAACTTAGAAAAATGATTTTGATCTCTTTAATTTTGAAAAAAAAAATGAAAAATGGCTTTGATTGGGAGAGGCAAAGTTTGTTGAATTGACTTGCTATAATTAGAAACTTTAGAGTATAAAAGCATTGACCTTGGAGACGTTAACGTTGTCACTGGTCAGTGTTGAACTATTGATGATTCCTCAAACTTTGTATGAACTTAAACACAAGTTTTAATGTAATAGCTACATGTCAAAATCACTAATTAAGCAACATGCAATGTGATTACGATAATGCTAGTGGTTTTATCCACAATAATTGAGAATTTCATTTCCACATTCATTGGAATCCATTATTCACACATGAAATTTCAGATTACATAGACTGTCCAATTACATTAAAAAAACAAAGCTACTGAAGAAAAGGGGCTGCGTTGGCAATTGAGCAAACAAAAATTCATGGCTTATATTTAACAAACACAAGGTCCAAGAGAATGGACCAAACCACTTGTGTCTTATCCTATCTTTTCATATTTAATTGTCAAAACATGTTTATTTGATATCTTATGCTTTTCACAGAGTCGACAAGCAGTGCTTACAAATTTCTATTTATATCCATTTTTTGAGGCCTGTGGGGAGCACAACGTCATGTCCCCTCATTCCTATTCTTAGTTTTGACAGTATCTCAAACTCTGGATTCATGGCTCCAAACCAAATGTGATTGATTTTCTTGGCTTGATGTGGTTTAAGAATAGGTTTTTACTGGTATAACTCATTTTTAACCTTTGAAATGAGCGAAGTTGAAAAAGATCATTGTTTCAAAACAAGAACAATGAGAAAAGGGAGGGTCTTATTTGACAAAAGTTGACACGAGAGTGATAGTGTGCTGGTATAGTAATGTTGGTCTAATTACATAATTAGTAGTAGCAAAATTGTGTTAAGGCAGGTTTTAATCAAGAAGAAATCTTGATTATGGAAATGGAAACAAGCACTAACAACTAAGCTATGTTTAAGGGGTGAGATAAAAGGAGCCGTAAAAGGGTGAAAAAGACATGTGGAAGCTTATTGCGAGGAGAGAATCAATGACTCATCAAACAAAAAGGAGTTGAAAGTACCAGCTACTGCTTCCATTACAACTATGCTTCTACTTATACTACTCTTCTTACAAGACCCAAATGAATTTTAGAGAAGAAAATCCCATCAGCAAAAAGACCACCCTCTAAGAAATGGAACTTGGGAGAGCAGAAAGAGCAAAACAGCCCCAACAACAACAACCCAATACTAGTTTTTCATCATCAGCTGCAAGTAACATGAAACTCATGAATAAGGGCAAAGCCATTGCTCAGTACAATGCAGATGCTAGGCTTATGGCCGAGTTTGAGGAGTCAGGTGTGTCTGATAAGTGCTTTAACTATTCAAGATCAGTTATTTACGCCCCACAACGTCTACCTGAAGAAAAAATAACTGCTTATCTGTCAAGAATCCGAATAGGTGGTCTTATTCAACCCTTTTGGTTGTATGATTGCTATTGAAGAACCCACCTTTCGGATCGGTAGTTATGGTGAGAATTGCTTTGAGTTGTCGGGTTTGCGTTTGGGAATTAAGGATGAGTCTAAAAGGTTGAAGGGTTGATTGGAATTGATACAAGAAGTCTTTTTACGCCTGCATCAGGTGCTTCCTTGGCAAAAGCTGCAGCTTCTAGGGAGATTTCATTGTTAAATCCAATTTGGGTTTATTCCAGGAGCACTGAAAAAGCAATTTTATGCTATATTCCATAGGATTGATGTGGGGATTGTGATTGATTTGGAGACTGCACGGTTGGGCGATCCTGCATTGTCCCTTGCTGGTGCTGTGCACTCACAGAAACTCTGTGAGGGCAATTGCTAGGCTGCAGTCTCTCCCTGGTGGTGATATTGGTGTATTTTGTGATACAGTTGTGGAGGATATTCAGAAGCTTACTGGTTATAAGAGGGTTATGGTGTGCAAGTTCCATGATGATACCGTGGTCTTGTGTCAGAAATCAGGAGGTCTGATTTAGAGCCGTACTTAGGTTTGCATTATCCTGCAACAGATATGCCTCAAGCTGTCCGTTTCTTGTTCAAGCAGAATCGGGTAAGGATGATCTGCGACTGCCATGCGAATCCAACTAAAGTCATCCAAAGCGATGAGCTGGAGCAGCCTCTATGCTTGGTAAATTCGACATTAAGGTCGCCCTATGGATGCCACACACAGTATGTGGCAAACATGGGCACCATTGCCTCATTAGTGATGGCAGTCCTTATTACTGGCAATGATTCATCAAAGCTCTGGGGGCTGGTTGCCTGTCATCACACTTCTCCACGCGATGTGCCTTTCCCCCTTCGTCATGCCTGTGAATTCCTTATGCAATCATTTGGACTGCAGCTATACATGGAGCTTCAATTAGCATCACAACTAACAGAGAAGAAGATTCTAAGGACTCAAACCTTTCTCTGTGATATGCTGCTCCGTGATGCCCCATTTGGTATTGTGACACAATCCCCTAATATGATGGACTTTGGAAAGTGTGATGGGGCTGCACTGTACTAGAGTGGAAAATGTTGGTTGCTGGGTATGACTCCAACTGAATCACAGGTAAAAGAAATAGCTGAGTGGCTGCTCAGCACTCATGGGGATTCTACAGGAATATTGAGTACTGATAGTTTGGCCTATGCTGGCTATCCTGGTGATGCTTTACTGGGTGATGCAGTTTGTGGCATGGCTACTACCAGAATCATTTAAAAGGATTTCTTGTTCGAGTTCAGGTCTCACACTGCAAAGGAAGTGAAATGGGGAGGAGCCAAGCATCACCCAGAGGACAAGGACTATGGTGGAAGAATGCCTCTAAGGTCATCATTTAATGCTTTTCTTGAAGTGGTGAAGAGTAGCAGATTCACTCTTTACAACTTATAATGAGAGATTCATTTCAAGACATGGAGAACAGTAGCTCCAAGGTGTTAGTTTATGCCCAGTAGAATGACACTATGATGCAGGGTGTGGATGAACTCAGCTCAGTGGCATATGAAATGGTGTTATTCTTCCTTTCCCTTTTATATGAATTTTATCATGTGGAATGGTAAGACGGTTCATGATAAACCAGCGGTTTTTTTGTCCTTAGCTTGTAGGATGACTCACCCCAGTAAAGGCCTTCCTACTACTCTTATCCAAGACATGTTTGAGGGTGGAAACCCGACACAGGAAGGCCTAGAGCTAAACCTGTCGCAGAAGCTTCTAAATAAGATGAATGGTCGTGTTCACTATGTCGGGGAACATAACAAATGTTTCTTCCTCATTGATCTTGAAATTAGAACAAGGAAAGCAAGACAAAAGGCATCACAACTAGAATGACATTATTTTTTTCAAGGAACCTTTGCTCTAATTCGTCTCAACGTATCATGCAACCAAAGCCTCTAGCAAGTAAGGTAAGCAGCAACTTTTATGAGGGCTCCATTTTCGTTTTGTCTATCAATTCTGGTGTGAGAATATGCCTATCCTTTTTCTAGTATAAAGCGAAGTGAAGACAAGTTGTTGAGGTTTGCTAGCAGAGAAGCATGTGTTGAAATGTAAGAAACCCCAAGAAAATTGAGTATTATCGATTGCAATGTAAAATTTGTCTAATATTTGTCAATTACATCCATTTCAAAGACAACCAAAAACAAAGTCTGTATTTTGCACTATACAATTTTCTGTAAATGACACCAATGTTACCCCTAATCCTCAAAATCTCAACCCTCACAACACATAAATCCGTTTAGAGATATATACATTATATTTGCATATGAAATTCAATGATTCAATTCCGGATCACATAAACACCTAAAAGAATGCAAAATAGAGAGGAAAAGTCAGAATAATCAGGCAGAACCTGATATCCTCTCAAAGAGACAGAAGACAGTGATCTGTTGACAAACTACAACGGTCCTACAGCTTCAATGTTCAAATAGTCTACAACTAAGAGTCCAAGACTAGACAAAATCTGCATAATGTTATAGCTGGTTTACCTCCTCTTCCTATGTACAGTTGAGTATGTACGCAAAAGTTAGCACTCACTGCCCCCAAGAACTTGGTATGAGGACAATCTTCTGCCACTAAGCTGTTAAAAAGTATCTGGCTCCTCACCAGTATCTTTCTGTTTAGGGCTACCCGAAGAATCACCCACGTGTGATCCATTTGCTGGCAGATGATTTCAATGGGTCAATCATGCCTTTTTCTTTTCTTTGGTGAATTATTATAAACATTGACATAAACTTGGCTGCTTCAGCCACTAAAAAGATGATTGAAGACAGCAAGAATGTGTCCGGTTTTTTGAAATTGGGCTAATATCCAGTGTTCATGGGCTACATGGAGAGGTTTGCATAAAACCCAACACTGATTTCTTGCGATTATGCAACGTAGGTCACGTTCTAAAAGATATTCTTGGCCTTTGCACTAGATTAATGTCTTTAAAAACTCTTCTTCTTTTTTTTTTCCATTGTCAAAATTGATGCTTTTTCAGGCTGGAAGAAGATGGTTAAGGCAACAAGTTTTAGCTAAAGAAATAATTAAATAAGTAGAGCTTGTTGAAGGGAAACATCCTGGACAGAAGAGTTGGATACTTAGCTTCAGTGGGATTGAAACCGTGGATCCAGGTGAGATAGTCAGAGAAGTTTGTTCTTTAAATTTGTT